TGGGGGGGGGGGTAGGGGGGCCACCCTTAAAATGGAGGGACCCCCCCCCCCAGTTCGGGAAACGAAAAACCCCCCAGTAAAAAATGAAAAAGAGACCCGAAAAGGGGCCCGAAATGCGGCCAACCCCGGGGGGGGGGGGGGGGGGGGTCGCGGGGCGTTAGCATGCCGTGTAACAGGTGGTGCTCTCACTCGAGTGTTGGCAAGTGCAGTGGGGAGAGGCACCACACGCCGTAGGTGGGGGAGCAGCATATGAGAGAACGAGGGGAGGGCATTGGGGACAGACAGCTTGCAAAAACGCGGCTGCTTAAGCAACAGCAGCTGGCTCTCATTTAGACGTATAGTAGGTGCCCAGTTTGTTTGTTTTGCCGTGACACACAAGAGAATCCTACCTTGAGCTCGAAACTTGCCGCCGGATCCGTCCTCGACTCGACGGCGTCCCACACGATGAATGCAATATCTGCGACGGAAACCAAGCGCGGTTACAGAACGACGGCCTGATCAAGGGACAGAAAATAAGGGCTGTTAGCCTACCTGATGTATGTCACCGCCCTTTTCTTTAGTGAGCCGAGGAGCGGCACAGCGCCGCGAGTTTTTAAGCACCTCCACCAAACAAAAAGTCCTCACCGCCAAAAACGTGAAATTGACTGCAGTACAGCAGTACAGCCAAAAAGCTACCGCCGTATGGCAATACCGCCGAAAAAGTACCTACACATACCGCGTGCCGGAACGCGATGGGCTGCGTCGACAGAGGCCTCGGCTGGTCGACTGCACGTAGTCCATGCAGGCAAATTCTTGTGTAATATTATGAGTCCCTGCGGCCGGCAATTTCGCTTTTATTGTCTACCGCCCCGCCTGTGTCCACCTACAGTACCCGTTGCCGATAACGTCTCTCCTCTCTACACAGAAGTTTCACACCGCGGGACTGGAATTGCGACACTGCGACCGACCGTCGAATCTTCGCTGATGTTGCTGCGAGTGTGTGGCCCTTTCGGAAGCCATTTCTCAGCGTTCGGTTTTCGCGACGAGAAGTTGGGGTGAAAGTTCAAGTTATTATTACCACGGCGGCAAATCGACCGCAGTCGGTTTTCATGCTTCAAAGTGCACATGCTCACAGAGGGAAACCAATCTGCAAGTGTGTACTGTACCCGCTACCCGCTCGAGACGCGTGGTACGCTGTGGCAGGCATCTTTTCTTCCGATCGTCCAGCAGCATATATGGATACACGCGAAAGACAGGGCGGGCAACCTCACATGCAAGGAACGCTAGGATCAGGCTGATCCAAATGATGGTAGCCTTTCTTCGGTGTCTCTTGACCACCGTCCGCGGCAACCTGCAGCAGCACAGACAGTGCGGCAATCAATTGCATGCTTGCAGACTCTCAGCCCTCTTCGGGGAAAGAGTGCAGGTAAAGAGTGTGCATGTAGGTCGTCGTGTTTTGCTGCGAAGGAACATCAACGAAGAAGTGCTTGCTGCGGCTGCATCTCTGCCACAGCATCAACACATACAATACAGCAGTGAATCATCAACGCATAGAAACCGTGAAGCATCAGCACTCACCAGAGGCTCGCTGGCGATGCCAACCTGTCCTCTACCTCCTCCGCCTCCTCTTGGTGCTGAGTGCCGCGTGCTTGTGTCGACGGAACGGCGCTACATGTGGAAGACATGGTCTGAACCAACGTACTTTTTCGATCGCACACGCACACGCGCACACGGCCCCTGTCTGCAGTACAAAAAGGGGTATCACCTGCACAACTGCGGCCAGAGGTACGCAGAATACCAACAACCAGTTGTACCCACAGACTCGGGAGGAAGCAGCACACAAGGCAACACCGTATCAAGTCAGCCACTAACTCTGGTCAAGCAAGATCCCCCACCACGTCCACCACGAGCACACGGAACCCCGAGTGCGCTTCTTGTGGAAATTTCGAACGTTCTTGAGAAAATTCCGGAGAAAAAAAAACGAGGTCTTCTTGTGTATGTTGATGGGATACATCTACGTACGTAGTCCCACAACAACACAACAACAACGGACAACAACGCCCGATCGTGACACGGCAGTGTGCGTGAACTTCGAGGCGAGTCGGGAGAAGAGGGGAATCCCGCTCACATATCCAAACTTCCCGTTAATACCTTCCTCGGATATAATGTGGGAAGGAGCTTATCCCGCCGGTTTTTGCAGCGTATATGAACAGAATAAATATTTTAGGTGTTCCGCGGCGGGTCATCGTAAGAACGTTGGGGAAAGGATTAATGCGAAAGAAGGTCTTCCCTGCGGTTGCTGCGTTGGAATATAACCTCAACCCATAGGCCGCCTGATGAGTAGTCTAAATCACTGCAGCAAACCTTTTGCTGGGGCAGCGCTCGCTGCTTGTTTCCTAAGTGAGCACCAACCGAGAATATCTAGATCCGTTTTTTTTGTTGGTAAGGTTGCTGCATGTTGCTGTCCTCAAAACTATAAACCGTCGTTCTATGGAAGCCCTCTACTCTGGGTGAGCAGAGAGTCCGGGAGTGTGGTGGCTATCTCCTGCCACCCTTCCTGCCACCGGAGGTTGGCTATTTCCTTTGGTGCAATATGGCGAGGAATGCCAAGCGTGACCGAGCGAACTCAGTCAAGCTAGGTTGGCGCGGAGAGTGGGCGAGCCTTCGCGGACCCATTTCCAATTCTCCTAAAGATTCATCAACTCTTCGCAGCCGTTGGGAATCGTAGGAGTCGTGGACCCTCGGAGAACGGTAATCTATTATCACATATTCCCTCAGATCCTACTCTTTATGTACGTGTATCTGTGCTCCCTGAATCTCCATATCCTGACCTCCACAGTTCGTGTCATTGCTCAGGTACCTTCCAACATCTTCTACCGGTCCAACTGACACGGACACACGTACGCCTTTCATGATCACAGGCCAGCTACCCACAAAAGGGCACACACTCGTTTTTAAAAACTAAACATTAGGTTCACTATTTTATCCGATTGTCTATCCCGTCTGCCACAACATGCACAGCATTGTTTGTGGGCGCTACACTATGTAGTCATATCTCCACAACAAGTAATAGTGCTTGTGCATCGTGTCATCACGCTCCTGTTTAGCCTTTCGCGGGCGACAAACATGTCATGATTCAGAGACCGTCCAGCATGTTCCAGACAGACCGCGAAACCTTGTCGCTCTACATGGGCTCCACAAAAAGAGTGCGGTGCGGTGAGAGTTTATCTACCTCGCGCATACGGGGTGCTGGTTCATTGTTCCAGAGAGCTCCACCGGCTGACTAAATCTAGTCCTTACAACATTTGTTGTGGTCTCAGAAGTCGAGGCGTGGCCATGCGAAAAACGCATCAACAAAAAAAAATAAACACGGCTGTCGGCCTAATGCTTCAAACCTCTTAAGCTATTGAACTGTTGAGAGTAGCTATACGAGGGCACCACAGATTCTCTACGGCACCATGAGGAAACGCTAACACTCGATCAAACGGAGGCAGGCCGTTCCCCCACACCGCCCGCGATGTCGTGTACCGCTTGCATGGCCTCGAGGCACAGGGCGTCCGCGGCCTCTCGGGTGTCAGCCTCGGCGTAGACGCGCACGACGTCTTCCGTTCCTGACGGCCGCACGAAGCACCTTGACAACATGCCCCCACAAGATGAGTAGGTAGGTGGTAGCACACGGAAGATTTGCACGGAGAGATTAAGCAGGAGGCCGGTGTGGCGGGAGGCCATCGTACGCAGAAAGGCAAAGGAGAGGTTGATGTGGCGGGAGGTCTTTGGGCGCGTAAAAAGAACACGCACTAAGAAGGAACCTCATGAACATCTCATGCTAACAACGTCCGCCATTCTCGACGGCGAGGCACAAAACCTCTCGGCAAGTCCCGAAAGAAAGCAGCGGACGAACGAGATACCAAGATGCATGAGCTTCAACAGCTTGGCGCGGTGCGCTCAGCATATTGAAGGACGGTCATGGCGAAGGGGGAAATCGAATTCAGCGACATACCTACCTACCTTCGGTCAAGGTGCCAACGCGGCAATTTAGCAGTGAGGTTCGATGCTGAGGACTCTTCAGCGTTGAAGCCATAGTTTCAATATGCAGAGAGTAAATACACATCGTGACAAAGCTAGGGATCGGAATGCAGAGACTCTCGCCGAGCAGCAACCAATCGACTTGATCCGCACAGGGAGTTTGCACCCCCTCGCCTTCAGCGTCGCTCGATAGCTTGGAGACGTCGTTACAAGCGACGGCACACCCCGGAACCAAAGGCGTACAAACCTAGCTCACCTGCCGTTGGGGGTGGTAGCCATGGCCTTGTCGAGGGCGGCCTGAAGCCCGGGGGGGCGGAGAGCGCTGGTTTCGTCTGGGCTGCAGGTGATGATGGAGCGGTCTGCCACCGCGGTCTTGGCCTGGCGGCTGGGGAGATCCGCGTACAACGCCGCCCAGTCCTGCCGAACCCCCCATTTCGAAGCCAGAGTCAATCAAGCCAACAGGGGAGAAACAAAAGGAGTACACAAATAGCGATATAAAAAAAATCGATACAATAGCCCGAAAAGGTTCGAACTCTTTGTCTTCGACGTCTCGTCTTAATTTAGTGATGAATAGCACCTTACCTCTTGATCACACTTCGGCGATGTACCACGCTGGACTAGAATATTCTCTGCTAGAGCCACGCCAGAGGCTTCCCCAACCAATGCAAGGAAGAAGAGCAGGCAGGAATAGCACCCCTCCTTGTGCGAACACATATATCGAGAGGGTCAGTCACCTTGCAGCTCCACCCCTTGAGGCGCAGCACCGCCTCGCAAAACAGCAGGTCGCTCAGAGCGTCTCCGACGGCCTGGTTGATGAGCGTCGCCGAAGACAGGAGCCGGCGGACAGACTGCTCCATCGCCGCGTCACCAGAGCTCGTCTGAGGACACCGCAAAAGACGCAACCGCCCCCAAAAGAGATTAGCTACAACCAGGTGCAACGCATGGTAATGGTAAGCAAGGGGGTCGAAAAAATTGATCAATAAGTTTCACACACGCGCGTCTTGCTATGACCTTCCTTGCTTGGAAATGTGCAACCCCTCCTGCCAAAAAACTATGACAGGGTTCGTCGGGATTGTCTCGGGTGTGGTGCGCCATCAACGAAAACGACGTTGTATAACACATCATGTGGCCTTCTTCGTTTCGATCAGGAAAGCAAAAATGGCGGCGGCAGCAGCAGTGACAACAACAACAACGACGAAAGCAAGCAAAAGCAAAAGCAACAACAACAACAACAACAACAACAACAACAAAAACAACGACGACGACGACGACGACACAAAAACAAAAAACAACAACAACAACAACAACGATGACGACGACGACGACACCATACCTTCTGCATGTCGATGAGGCGAGCCAAGACCTTATCCTTGAAGAGGACCGTTCCGTGACCGTTAGCCTCGAAGTAAACCCCCACGTCGTACTTCTCAGCCTCGTGGTGAACGAACTTCACCCCCGTCTTCGCGATCGCCACGGGGACCCCCTGCGCCTTGAGATACCTGAAACAAGAGGCCCACACGCGGTACGCGGTCCAACTTTATTTAGAACAGTTGTCAACACCATGGTCGAGCGTCAAATGCGGCGTTCCGTGTGCAAGTTTTTTTACTCCCGTATCTATCGAAAATTACAGAGCAGCAGCTTTGAAGAACAAACCAGGCCTGAAGGGATCGAGAAAACATCCGAACAGCCCATTTCTGGGCCGACTATGAGCAGTCCTGGACAAGTCGAAGCTCGTGTGCGACAAAACGCCAGGGGCGGGGCACCTTGTCTTGGAAGGCGAGACCGCCTGCCACAACAAGATACCGTTTCCCTCACGCCGATTTTCGTAGCCCGACTACTCCGCATCAACTCGGGTGACAGACAGTACCGATCGATACTACATCTTTGGAAGATACGATAACACCTTCCCAGCGCCAGTCACCCTGCGCAAGAGAAAAACGAGCTTTGCAAGTCAGTCTGGGGGTGCGTCATGTGGAATACACCGCACTCCGAAACTAAACACGCACGTGTGTAAGCACCTTCAACATCCTGCGGGGAGGGGAGGTACGGTACAATACTCACTGGGTCGATCCCCCGTTAGCGTAGGCAGTCTGGACCACGGACATCGAAAACTCCTGCTCGAAAGGCAGACCCAAGGCAAGGCAAGGGCGGCGACGCACGGCAGTCCGCGCGAGGGCCAAGATGGATCGAAATAGAACAGATGGAATGACAGGCCGGAGGGGCGCATTGGTGTGTCCCAATTCCCAGGTAGTACAGTACAAGCTTGAGGGCTCTCCCTGCCCTCGGTTTCGTAGAACTTAGAAAAGTGAAAGAAGCGATTGTGATTTTACTTGTCGCTTCGTTGACACCAGAAACATGCTCACCCCTCACTCCCGAGAAATACCGATACGTTGGCGTGACCCCCAACAAATATCGGGAAAATACGGCGTCCCGATAGAATGGGGCTGAAGGCATTTGACACCGGCTATTCAACCTCGACCTTCTCTTTCAAGTATTTGGAGGCTCAGCTACAAGAAGGAGTTTCACCGGGTGTCGAGAAAGACGGTGACACTCGTCAAAAATATGCTGAGAAAGAGTAATGGTCACGAGAAAAAGGAACATACTAATACAATAACAGTGAACCCTCCAATCTATTCTCGCTCAGGTTCACGTTCTATTCTTTGAAATGGGTAAACGACAAAAATTTTCAGCGTAAGTAGGGTATACCTTGTCCAGACCGAGCTTCGCCAGCTCCTCGTGGATGAAGGCAGCGCACAGCGCGGCGATCTTGTCCCCGTCTAGGAGAACCCACTTTCCACTAACGAACCAAAGAATGGCGCAGCAGAGGCAACAAGAAACAAAATCATCATGAAAGACCACTACATACAGCAGTAGCGCAGAGAGAATATTTGTCAGGGAACGGGATGAGATGCTCTGCCACTGAACAAAAGGCGTGTCATAGGATCCACAAAAAAAAAAAAACGCTTCGTCGCGAGAGACCGCTCTTCTAGCAGAGAGATGATGTCTTGTCAAGGAACTGGAGAAACAAAGGATAATCTCGTCGTCGTTAGGAAGAAACCTGATTCACACGCCCAGCACCAACCTCTCTTCCTGCTGCTGTTCAGCCCCCCCCGCGCGACAACCTCATGTTAATGTTTTTGAAAACAACCATACAATCAAAAAGACGGAAACCCAATATGGGATGCACAACCCGGTTCACGCACGAAAAAATGGGCTCGAAACAAAAGAAAAATCCCACACCTCTTCCCCAACTCCGGAAACCCGTGTCGAATATGTGATGCACAACCCGGTTCACGATCGAATCTCCACCGGATTTTGACTCTCTGAATCACTGAAAATTCAATCCAGTACGTACCGTGGAAGAATATGGATGTCAGAGACAGACTCCTTCCAACTCACGTGTCGTCGAAGAAGTGGTACACAAGTCGGTCCGCGTCTCCGTCGAAGCTGCACAGACGCTTGCCGGTATCGTTCGCCGCAGATACGCCGGAAGGCGGGACTCCTTTCTGCGAGAGAAGAAGAATGCAGCGGAAACAGAAAAAAAAAGAGCAGCACGCAAAGTCCCCGCGATTTGTCAGCATTCAACACCGCAGCAGCAAGCATTCCGTACCAGACACGCTCCTCTTGCAAACAACAACACACGCAACCTCAACAATTCCCGCCTCCCAAATGGCGAACGCGGTGGATGTGGGCCAATAAGGGTGCCACCGCGTGGCATCGGTACAAACCATCCCGACAATGTATGTAGTCGCACAAGTCGCCACGAAGATTGATAAAGAAAGCACCCTGGACTCCAAGGTAGGTAGGTGAAGTCGTGAGCAATGGCTGATCAATATGGAAGACAAAAAAATTTTTTTCACGAACTCGTACAAAAGAGGAAGAATAATTTATCGCGAGCGTCGGAGAGAATGCAAAGATGCGGGCGAGTATCATGGAACTCTGGGCGAAAACTCAACCGAGTTGTCCGGTTCTTACTTTTTTACCTCGGGTGGGTTCTCGCAGATACTTGCAAAACCGCCGACCCGTGCGATCTTCCCTATTCCTGAGAGGTTTAAATGTAAACTATTATAGTCACACGGGCGTTTTTTTTTTTCCCGGGAAAAAAATGACCACGAGCACAAAAAAAAAGGGGGGGGGGGCAGAGCATTTCTTGACATATTTTTTTTGGTTTTGGGGAGGACATTTGTATCTTTAAGAAGAAGTCAAATCTGAATTTACTTGATTTTCTTATTCATGCCGATTTGTTACTAAATCGTCCACACGCCCAGTCAGGGCGCATCTGCTACACCAGTAATTGGCTAAAATTCGCATGATAGACACTACCGGTAGTTAAGAACTCATGTAGCGGGCTAGGCGATGCATGCTCTTCTGCTTCGGCAAATGCGTATGTGCAACTCTCGCGCGTGAGCATCTCGCTGCTTTCCTGATTGGAGATAACCGCTGATTGTGCAAATAAGTACAACTTCGAAATATTGAAATAGAAGGTGTCTGCCGCACCTGCATCTCGCGATACGGCATACATACAGAAATAGAGGAAGAAAATAAAATATGAAAAAAAGGAAAAAAATGAAGGGAAAAAAAGCGAAAAGACTAAGATACGTCAGCGGCAGGATTTGAACCTGCGCGTGAAATCACAATGGGTTTCGAATCCATCCCCTTAACCACTCGGGCACGCTGACTTGTTGGACGTGCCTAAAATCCTACCTTTTTGAATCAGGGTATGCATAGTTTCAGTCAGTCACACGAGTGGATTGGCAAGTCCCACAAGGGCGGTGGTGTTGTTTGGGGAAGTATAGTATTGTAATGGGGAATAAAATACTTTCTCGATTTTTTTTTTAACGGGTCCTCGAAAAAGTCAAACGTTCGGATTTCCCGACTTGTGCTTTCGAACACTTGCTTTAAAACCGCCATTGTGGTGCTTTCCCTCCCAAAAAACAACTCGAATGGAGCAAAATCATGCTGTTTTACGGCTGCGCTGCGGAAGGGGGGAGGGCGACGCCGACGACGAATTCTTAACGACTTCACCTCACGACCCATTCTGCAGGGAGCATCTTCCACTTTAATTCCTTCACTTCCCCCAACCACTTCGTCCACGCAAATAGAACTTGGTGCACAAGCTGGGCGCCGTCATGCATTAGGGGTGCCGGTATTTCGTATGACGGAAGATACCACCCCCTCTCGAAAATCTAAATTTCCACCCGACAGCGACACGGAGTGGGGTGCCAGAATCCCCTAAATAGAGAAAAATGTTCCAACTGAAAGGCTTGTTCACTGGTATGCAACATGTCATTTCATACCACTGGTATGGGCTATAGGTGGATCTTTCGATCAGGGCAGGATTGGGGAGAACAACTCGTTTCGCCATAATTAATTGTGGATCTCTATTGTTGTGTCATTTGTGTTCGAAGTTCGAAGTGCGGTGACAATTTGCGTATCATACCGGCTTGGAGGTTTAAATAGATCATGGAAGGGCCCACGACAACCCAACCCAGCCGCGTTCCGCCTTTTACTGATACAAAACGCTTTTTATACACCAGAATAACTAAATATCAAGCGTGAGCGTGCCCAGAGCGTCTATATACTGCTGTGAATCGATAGCTTCTAAAAAACACACATTTTGAATCCCTACACACGACGATATTTTCCCGCAAAACAATGTGAGGTAGGTTGTGGTGTGAGTACCACGTTACTATAATAATTCATGGTCCACGTTAGTTATTCACGGTGCCCCTGTCAGGTGTCAGGGGGACCCCGTGGACTACATTCAACAGGACCCCGTAAGTTGTTACTCCTTCCGTACGTTCCTCGCCGTCTCTCAAGTCAGCGCGCGTGATCAGACGGGGCGTCAGGGTATGTACTGCTGTTTAGGGTCAATACCATTACTCTTCTACCGTAGTAAAGATCGTGTCGTTTCGGGGTATTGTCGGGGTATGTTCCCTACCACAGCCTTTCTCACCGTGCGTTCGTGTTCTTACACCCGCGTGGGATTCCCCTCCCCAACGTGCAGTTTACATGCGGTTTGTTTCGGTTTGTTTCAAGGGTCAACTCTCACAACTTGCCCGAGAAAAGTGTGGATAAGGGTTTGAAGACTCAAACTGGTCAGGCTACCATGGCCAGCAATGTTCTTGTTCCTTCTGACTATTCATATTAGTAGTAGGCTTTGGTAGGCTCGACGAAATAATACTCCGAAAACAACTTGTGGGACGCAAACGCAATGCGCATGGGTACACATGGGCATGTGTGTGGGTGCATTGTTGTGTTTCCATTTCCAAATTGTACCTTTTCTAGTTGCCAGTTTTGGACGCCATGTGTAAACGACAAAAATACAAAATATCAACAATATCCTGGAGAAAACCCTCTTCCAAGCTGTGGCCAGTTTCGACGCTGTGGCTCTGGTTGCTGTGGTCGACTGCGGGTAGCCGAGAGCGTGTGCTCGTGGAGAATCAACCACGACCTGTCGTGGAATCAACATCGTAAATCAAGATACCGGCGGCATCTCGCGCAAGGCTCAGAGTGGTGGCCGGCTGGTTCTGTGTTCAAACATTTTATCCAGCACGCCTACAAACGAAAAACGTTCAGCTGCCCCAAAAGAAAAATTTGGCAGCGCACCCACCTGTAGTAGTCGGGAACGATTTCTTGAAACAATTTTTTATCCTAACGTAACTGTTTTTTTGTAGAAAGTATACGTAACTGTTTGTGTTTCCACACATGCTTTCGCGCACAAGACATAAAATAATGCCAGAATAAACAGTTCCACCGCGGTCTGCGTCAAGACCGGGAAAGCGCTCCGAGTAGACCGCCTAAACGCGTATCCACTCTCAAAGCACCCAAAAAAAAAAAACTTTTTTATACATCTGGGCTACGTACGTCGTCACCCGCGCAGAAGAAAAAATATGCCCAAAATCGAACACGCGGGGATTGGCCTGCCACACTGCTGTTCTGCACACCGGTCAGAACACTTCGTACAAGCGCGAAGGCAACCACCACAACACCCTATCAGCAACCACCACAACAAAAGAAAACAGAAGAAAACAGGCAAGTCGGAGCAACGCACCTTCTGCGCCCACTCAGCCCCGCAGCCCTCGTTCAGCTGCCCCTCGCCCACGCGGTTCCGCACCTCCACCTCCAGCCGTCCCCCCGGCATCTCTTCCGCCAATACCTAATACGCAAAAAAATAAAAAATAGTTAAAAAAAAAAGTTACCCGACACCAAACATGCAAGAAACACACGCGCGCGCACAAAGGCCATGGGTCCGAGGGCGCAGTACGAGAAGAGAACTCCAAGAGTGGTGTGCCCCTAGAGAATGGGAAGGACTGCGACACAAAGGCCTTGGGGGGCGGGGGGGCGACGCAGACCATAAATCAAATGAGGGGGGGGGGGGGTGCCGGAAACGACGGGAGGACCAACCCCTGGAAAAACGCCGCGCAAAACTCCCTCGAGAGCACACAATCCCTGTGGGTGACTCTATAAACAAGAGAGACGGACACGTATGGCGGGAGACGGGACGCCTTCGGACGGATCGAACAGCAGAAAGTTACACACCTTTGCCAGGGCTTCCAGCTTGGGCGCCCCCACCCCGTGGGCGGCGTCGACGAACACGCCTCCCGGGTTCGGCTGCCTCGCTGCCGCCCGCTGAAACCACGAGCCGCCGCGCTTCTTAGGGTCCTCCGCTGCGGTGGAAACAAAAAAAGAGGGGGGAGAGAAAGTATAATAATGGAAACAAGTGCGTGAGTGTGTTTACTGGTAGAATTGATCTCGCTAACCGGCTGATCAATGAAAAGCTGCCAGTCTAAGTGTGTGTTAGAAGGGGGAGGGGAGACAAGAGGTGACAAGAAACAATATCCTTTGCGAAACGGTCCAACCACGGCGCTATTGTCGTGTAGGGTCCTTCGCAAGCTGAGGTGGAGCGCGCGTCAGAGGTGTGGTCTGAAGAGAGTGTACGAAGAAGGCACGCACACCAACAGAAAAACAAAGACTAGAATACACTTGAGGCAAAGCAAACCCTCCGACTCGCGGAAGAAAAAAGAAGCCAAGTATGCATACACGCGGTAAGGACTAAAAATATGCATCTCGATACAAGAAACATATGTAGCCCAATACCCGGAACGTTTGCCCCAAACCTCTCACTGGTAAGACCTCTTCAAAATATGCCTCCTGATACTTTACTTCACCGACAGCGGGCAGGCTTTCTTGTGATGATATAGGTGAAAATGCTGAAAGAGAAAGAAAAAATCGAAAAAAACAACTGGCGAGCTCACCGCTGGCTAGGAGGTCCGCGAAGCTCGAGGCTAGCATCTTGTAGTACCCCTCCTCTCCGCGCCACTCCTCCTTCCCCCAGAACGGTCCCGAGCCGGCCTCCCCGTTCGCCATCCTACCGTAGCAGTACCGAATGCACACCGCAAAAGAAGACGTTTCCGGAAGGCACTCGGGGTGATGATGCTCAGCTGTTCAACCATCGTTGACGACCCACTATCGGAAGATATAAACCTTGGAGAGCGAGGCTAAGAAAAGGGAACTTGTTTTCTTGCAACACATGGCACGAGACAAAAGCTTGCAGTGATGCTTGTCCCGTACCACAGCAGAGACCCCTGTGCAGTGCCGGTATGTGGCCACAAAATTCAGCGTGTGCCCGCCGAAAACACTGGTATTGTACCGGCCACCGGCTCTATGCAACCGGTACTAAACAGGGACCTCTACTATGTAATACAAGAGAGGGGGAGGGGGGGGTACGAATGAACCATAATTTGCGCGGTGAACTCGTGTACGCGCAGCGGCAGAAACGGGCCCAGATTCCGGGCGGAGTAACAGCACGGCAATTCAAGCAGCAGCAGCAGCAGCGGCGGCAGCAGCAGCAGCAGCAGCTCGGCAACAGCCTCGTGAGTGACAAGTCGAGCACCTGACGCAGTGGTGCAACATTGGCGTCGTCATGACGCCTTGGTCAAGCCCCTCCCCACCGACCAGAGATATGCCTAGGAGAGCGAGGGCGGCAAGCTTGGGGCTGTGGGGCCTGGTGTCCTGACATTTCGGGGTTGGGGTTGAGAGAGAGGGCAGAGCGTCCGTGTGGCGGGCGCACACACAAGGTTGCGCGGCAACGGTCCATATCGGTTTCACGGCGAGTGTTTCGCGTTCCGCATCATCCCACAACAACACCACCGTAAAAAAAACAACGAGATTCTCGTGCAGGATTACATAAGCACGCGCGCCTAAGGCAAGCTGCAGTACCAATGCTTGTATCATCATCTGGTGTTGTCGTCCTGTCGTTGAGGATCGTTTTCCCCGAGACTCTTCCCCGTCGTTCGTGGTTACCATTAAAGCGCACCGGTGGTATAGAGACTGGCCAGCAAGCAGCTACGACAGCTGCTGCCCTGACTGCTGCTGTCCCACAAGACATTGCACCACCAGTACTACCAGGGGGTGCATACGGCGTGCCCGAAACACGAACCCTCATGCAACACCGCTCACGCACATCCTAATCTCCATCTTCCATAAGACGCACAGGTACAGATCCGAATTTCTCACGACGATGAAGCCCTGCGGCCGTGCTGCAAGGACCTCCTACGCAAAGAATGCGAGAACATTACAAAAAAAGGCCAGGCAGGGGGCACACGCAGATCCTAACCCTAACCTAGCCGATCCTACACTTTATCCAGTACGTTTGCATACTTGAAAAACCTGCGTAGCTACTGTGCTGCAAGCACCTACTCTCACCTTGGCAACATAGACAATCGGGGTGAACTCCTCGTCCTCCTCCCCGCCGCCCCCCCCCTCCCCGGCCTTGCCGGCAGCACCCTTACCGTCCTTGGGCTTGGAGAGGGAGATGCCCTCCTTGGTGTAGATCTGGGCGAGAGCCTCCGACACCTTTCCGTTGGGCGTGTTGGCCAGCATCTTCTCGGTGCGGTTTTTAGTTTAAATTGGTAATTTTCAGAAAGGTGACGCGGGCAACCGGCGGGGGAGAAGGGGGGGTGAACAAACCCGCTCCAGGCCGGGGAACGAGTGTGGATGACGGGTAGACGAGGGGGGAAATTGCAGGTAACAAGGCGGAAGAAGAGACTGAAAGCGCGTAAAATATCAAATTGTGTTTGTTTCGTTCCTTCTAGGTCATGGCCAGAATTTCAGACCGACTATACCTGCATCGCTCGGGAACACTCGTTAGGAGTACGACACAGAACAGACACGAAAACAGCACATTAAAAAAAAAAAACACACACACACACACAAGTCCATGACAGGAAGCAACAGAGTTAACAGTCCCTGGGAAGAAAACAACAGAGAAAAACAGCACTCGTTTGCGTGGAGAGAGCGCAAGCACCTCCGCGTATCCCTCCCAGTCCTGCGACAGCATGCCGCCGTTCGGGTCTACCATCTTGATGCCGTTGTCGGGCTCCGCATTGTGCGACGCCGTGACCATCAGGCCTACGGCTAGGCCGGTTTTGCTGTTGCGGATATCGGGGGTGGGGGTGGGAGGCACACGGATCGATGTTTCATAGGGCAGCTGGGGGGGTTGATGGATGAGACCGCCGGATAATCGGGATCAAGCGGAAACTGACATTGGGAGGTATGAGGCAATGAATTCACGTCTTCTTTTGATGTGGTCGATGACAATGAAACTGAGAAAAATATTTCACTGCCCGTTGAACAAAACGTGGGGAGGATCGGGCGCTCATGAAGTGTTCACATCGCAGACCGCAGAAGTAAACGCTGGTGCTCCTAAAAAACCACAATATATCTACCCCGCCGGCCTGCATCTGCCTGATTCTGATCCTTAATGCCTGCTTGCCACCCTACTCCACACCTCCTGCAAGCCCGACGCTTAGCGACCGAACAACGGTACCCTCTAAATCTGGTATGGTCTTGAAAAATTTCGACAGACAAACGGTATAGCGACGCCCCGACCGGCTTTACGGGAGACAGGGGCACGCACCGGCTCCTTAAAACCGCCAGCATGCCCATGCGCAGGAACGTCGAGTCCAATAGCTCGGCGCGATCCCGGAAACCTGAGGCAGCAGCAGCAACGCCCGTCATGGCGGGTGCAAGCGGTGTCGGTATCTAGTGATCACTTCAGTCGGCATCGTGCTTTCGGAACGTGCAAAGGCGTTTCCTGCTTTGCGTAGACTGTAGATTTGCTCTTGGTGCCCGTTGAAACGCTACTACTGTGTAGTCGGTGTCACGGAAGAGCACGCTCACGTTCTCACTTAATATGTCTACGCAGTGAGAAAGGACCACGGGAGACTGCTGTTGTGGTAGACATCATGCTTAGCACCGTAGCACCGGCAGCATCATTTTTGTAGCGCAAGACGCCAAGTAACGTACATACAACGATGGGCACAAATACACATGCTTTGTTTATCTTCCAGAAACGTTTGTATGATGCGGTGCCTCGAAGTGGGGGGATACTCGAAACAGGTATGCATACGTACGCAGGTAAGACATTTTCAGGTTTGCAAAAAATGGTCAAATTGCCTCTTTGGTTGGTTGAGATTCGCCGGGATCTTCGAGTCAGAAAAACACGTCAGCTTGTGGGGTTGTTCCTGCTGATTGCTTTATTTCATCTTGCATCACATCACCCCTTGATGACGCTGTGCTCTCATGAGCAAGCCCACTCCGGAGGGATCCCTTGTACCATCTGGTAAAACAAGTTTTGTGCCTCGGGGCACAGCACAACCACTCACCCGCTGTTCCATACTTGAGCACCTTGTCCGGTTTGGCGACCTTGCATTCCTCCGTGAGAAGGTTCGGGTACTTCTTCTCCACGAGGTTCCCCTGCACCTGCCCCACTGATTTAACATTAATAAAAAAATGTAACGGCCGGGAGGGTTTAGTGATAGGGGAAGAGCGAAAGAGGAGGCAGAGTTGCCTCTTGGATAACGGCAAGTCGCGCGACAGAGCGGGTGTAGACTATGTTGCCAACGCTGGGGCTAACAGCGTGCTGTGGCCGCCTGCAGATATGTATACCATCCGATCTGCGATTGCGCGCGTAGGCTACTGCCACGTATCGGACGGCCCATGTATGGTAGTTCGGTGAAGAGTATTTGCAGAAGTAGACACGTGTGTTGAGGGACTAATGCCCGACCCCGTCTGATGCTGGCTGCATTTCCATACTTTATCTAATATACCAAAAGAAACAGCCTTTCCGCCGTGCGTAACTGCACCTGAGTACTGATATCACTAGCGGACGTCATGAAGAGGCGTCGTGTATACTGGCACGTTCAGGTTTGCTGCTGAAGGTGAAATATCGAAGGTCGTAGTGGCGACCTTCAATCTCCGCAAATTAGACCAAACTAGACCGACACCTAGTGTTTTGTACTGGTTGTGCTTTCCGCAATAAACGGTAGACCCCTGGACGGCGGGTCGTCAGCAATAGCTAGTGGCAACAGCTGCTGCTGTAAGCCCGCAGTTCAGGAGATCGGGGTTAGTGATGGCGAGCACAAGCAGTACAAAACACTGGGTGTCGGTCTAATTCGCGCAGATTCTGCGGAGATTGGAGGCCGCTACTACAGTCTACAGTCCTTCGATATTTCAGTCCAGCAGCAATCCTGAACGTGCCAGGGCACACGACGCCTCTTTATGGTGTCCTCTAGTGAAACCAGTACTCAGGTGCAGTTAGAATACTTAACCAACCTTATTTGAGCGCCTGCCGTTTCGGCCCTTTAGCTATTGACTTGAATTTTGACTGGTGTGATTTTTATCTTGATTTCAAAGGAGGCCTGTGGAGGTAGACTCATGGTATGTACTCGAGTATGTTTTGAGCAGCCTCTACTGCCGCCCTGGGCGAGAACCAACGAGTTTTTGTTTCCGGATGCCTTCCGGCAGGTCTTTTGTGCCTCGTGTGCATTTTCTGGTGCTCTTGCGGTTTGTTCCACAATCAGTCAACTTCCAACATTAGGTTGGCATCAGGCGATCCCTATAGAAACCGTCTAGTGTAGCTGTGGTGTTATGATGGTTAACAACGTCTTTTGTTTTTTGAAAACGTAGTTTTGCGATTGCGGAGGCATGCATGTGCTACCTGATAAAAAGTATGCCGTTTTTTCGTTAGAAGCGTCGAGTGCCGACGTGCCGACAAGTACAGACAGCGGGGCGATCCCTATGCAAAGCTGTTCCGATAAAACAAAAGATGTCCCGTTTGATTGGATGGGCGGAAGGGAGCCAGGCAACGGGAGAGCAAAGCATCATTGCTCTTGAAATCTGTCTTTTTCCTACTCTTGCCCATGCTGCTGCTGCTGCTGCTGCTGCTGCTGCTGCTTCTTCCGCTTGGTCTCTACAGACGTCGGTCGAAGGGGGTGCAGCAGCAGCAGCAGCAGCAGCAGCCCCATGAGCAAGATGACGGCGCAACAAGATGGGGGACACTTGCGACAAGAACAAAGAGAGAACAAACCAGCCCGAACAAACGACCAAACTGCTCGCAACTTCCATACGTCTCTCTAAACGAAGGAATGCCTACTCCCAAGAGGGGGGCAGGATCAACGCGGCAGTGCTTGCTAGATGATGGGCCAGGGAAACCATCATGGTAACGTTAGATTGGATGTGTCAGCACCACGCAAAGGTGCTCATCGATCTATCTTTCCAGCGGCGGTGGCAGCAGCAGTGTACGAGCGATGTACGCAAAACCGGCCGCGCACAAAGAGTGCACAATTTGCACTCCGACACAAATCCGATACCTGCAGCAACAGCACAAGGGCTTGCAGCAGGGGCACTCGAGGCAGCAAGGACAGCCAACCATGGGCTTTCTCCTTCTCTCTCTTCATTCCGACGTCGCTGTCTCTCGTCCTCTTCAAAATTCCAATAAATACCCCATGTTGCGCAACTTGCGGACAGTCCAATGCACGAAAAAGTCGGTGCTCGTCTCAAACCTTCAGCCCGGACTGAGACCGTCTTCACGCTTTAACTCACTTTTCTTTCTCTTTCGAGTCTGCTGGTTGTCCTTGGAGGTAGGTTGTGATTGCGGCGGAGGCGTGGCGAAAGTTGTTGATGGGTGTGCTAGTGCCAAAGCAGCAGGCCAGCTGGACTCTTTGAAGCGGCACAACCTTAGATTATTACGCCGGAGTCCCGTCCCGAGGGGGTAAAAGTTCTGGTTCTCCCGGGCGGTTCTTCCGAGGGGACACATTAACCGTAGACGTCAGACTAGCGTCAGACTGACAACCAGACCACGGGGTCGAATCCTAATGATCATTGCCCTGTGTGGGGCGACATGCGAGAGGCGCATATTCGGAATCCTGTCGGAAAGGCAAACTGAACGACGGAGTGCTCCCATCCCTACCGCTGTCTGTGTGTTCATCACAAGATCACAAGCTCATCAGGGGTTTGAGGTCAGCCAGGCCGCATAATTGCCCGCCGCGCTTTCTCTCAAGAAACTGCAGACACGGGCTGCGTACTCCGTAGACAAGTACCCAGTGGACCTTTTGGTACCCTGTACTACTGTAGATGTAGAATGTTTCTGTTTCGTCCTCATATCTAGACAACACAGCACAGCATTACAGAGTACGATGCGTTGACCTCTAGACTAGACCATAGTATCCAGTACCTCCTCTTTCGAACCCTTTCGAGGCAAGCCCCCCCGGCTAACCGGCAATCAGACTCACGCAACAGCACGGCAAATGCACCACCGCACATACACTATTCATGCACTCTTAGACTCACATGAAGCTTGCCGGAAGAACAACCGCTTTGAGCCACGTATACAACAAAAAATGCAGCACACCCACACCAGACACTCTTCTTGCTCAAAGATGCAAACGAGATGAGAGTCGGACACATCGCCTACAAAAAACATGGATTAACGCATGCATCACCAAACAAGAACTGCATCGCACAAGCCATGTACCAGTACACAGCCGCGACAAGCCACGTACTGTAAGCTAGACGAAGTCTAGCAGAGAGAAGAAGATACATAAGACTGCAGTAGATTACCAACCAAGACAAGCACCCCCTTTAGAAAATACCATCACCCGCACACAGCTTCAGCTACACTCTGGTATACCGAATTTCGGTAAGTCATTAATTTAACCGAAGCTCCTCTGTCCAACGCCCATACCAACGGCTGGAAGAGACTTGCTTCTCGCCACGTACCCCGCCACAACAACTGCACTCTCAGGTATACGTGTCATCAATCCCCTGAACGAACTTGCACATTACCGCCACCCACGTCACCACAGAACCATGGCAGTCTGAGGCGTTTCCCTCCTGAGACAATGTCCTCCTGCTCAACGTACACTATTGCACGCTGTCGCCCGACCCACAGAGAAGAGCAACCCCGCGTAACGTCCAGTGACTGGGGTGCTTGCTCCTTGCGGCTAGGGTGACCAAGAAGATGATGTATTTATCGGTCCTCAGGGAGTATTTGTACACGGGGCAGTCGAAGCCCCCGTGGGGGCCATAGTCCCCGCTGAGGGCCTTCCTCTGGGCCTTGGTGACCGCTGTCACGTACATCACCGGCACGCTGCTGAACAGCTCCTTGGGCTTTGATTCAACCAAGCTGGTCCGTGATCGGATTAAAATATGCAACAACGCAACAACGGACGGACAACGTGGAGATTGTTTTCGGCATGTTTTTCTCTTCAGTGCTGTGGCGTTCAGGCCGTTGTCCCCGGCAGAGCAGGATAGGCTCCGACGCAGCAGGAGCAATAACAATCACAACCACAGCAAACCACCGATACAGGGGGGCGTCATTGCTGGTGTTTTTTGAGCTGTCGGTGACAAGGTCTACAACGAGACGGCTGGACATACTCGTGGAATTGGGTACACCTCTTCCGTTGCTTTCGCTGAAGCGTACTCGCTCTCTTTCCCTCTGTCTCGACCGACGTGATAGACTTGCATGTAAATATGAAACTATTGCTCAAGCGTGCATACACTCCAATTTTGCAAACGTGCGGCACCAACTAACTCACCATCTGCCAACCAATTAATTTGTCCGAACACCCATGATTATATGTGCCAGGTTCACAGCAAAGGGACTAAACACGTCGAGGGAAGCAAACGAATTAGGCTTGAGCCACGTCCAAAATTCACACCTGTTTTCGGATCGATTCCACTGTGCACCGTCTAAATAGAGCCCGTGAATGTATACCCCCTCTTTAGGTGGGGCCTTGACCTGCTCTGACTTCTCGAACTCGGTCACCTTTTCACACAAAGCACAGGAGCATTGCGTGTCGCGAGGACCATCGACGAGTGGAAGGAAGATCAAGTGCCTCAAAAATGGATGGGTGGCTATTGATTGGATGGAGATCGGGTTAGGCATGACAAGAATATCTTGTTGGACAAACCTGTGTCGGCCATGTTTATAGTTATACCAGGCTACGACTGAACGTGGGGGTACGTAACGGACAACGAAATACCGCACGCCTCGAAACAGCGGATTGTATTTTATCCTGTACTTTGCACCCTGAATACAAACACAATGAAGTGACGTACCCCCACTGCTGCTTTAGAGAGCAACGACTGACTGCAACACAAAACAAACGCACTGTTCTGTCAGAGCGCTGCTCGAAAATGCTCGGGAATTCTGTGTGTCTTGTCTTCCAAACCCAATGTCGAGTGCACAGACTTTGGGACGAGTATGGTAACAGCTGGAGGAAGCCTGGTTACCTCGGTGTGGAGCACAACTCCGTCAAGGCTCCACCGGTCAGCCTTGTGCGCCCGAGTGACTTCTTGTTGAACCGCCGTCACAAAGCCCTGGTGTTGTTTTATAGCGGTAGATACGTTGATGAGGGCACGTTGATGAGGACAGGAAACGGTGGGCTCAGTAGAATATTATTTGCATTGCTAGTTTCGAGAACAAGGATATTTTGTCGGCTGACTTCATCACTGGATACCGCACTTACCCCTACACTTCGGCTTAGCTCATCTGAAATGCTTCGCTGGAAGATAGGTGCAACGTTGTTCTAACTTTTAATTCATTGGTATGAAGACGCTTCGATTACCCTCCAACGGATCACCTCATCAACATCGGCAGAGAGCGTAAGGCAAGATATTTTCGCTTTTTCTGTGTTCGGTACCTCCGCGTTTTCTCCTTGTGGAGAAAGCAAGCGATGAGTCGGTTGCGGGATGTACCGAATGATAAATCGGGTCTTCTATAGCCGTCCATACCCGCTGGTCGGAGATCCTGGCGAGCAAGAACCGCGGAGCTCTTCCCCCTGACAACACCAGCTCGAGAAAAGCTAGGATGGCTGAAGGTTCACAAAGGCATTAAAAACTGTTGTCCGTACTCAGGACATTCGGACCTAAACTCTTGGCACCATCTGTGTTCATATGCGCCCACTCCTTTGACTTTTGGGTCCCGAACTGCTACCCGGTACTTCACCTGGGGATTGAAGAACCCCGTCAGCCAGAAGCAAGGCGGCCTTCCCCCAGTGAGCCAGGTCGCCAGCTGCTCGTTCCGTGCGGTGAAGCTCGAGAACCAGAGCCCCAGAGACGCGGACATCCACGAGATCTCGTCACCGCCGTAGCTGAATACCCACTGACGCGGAACTCGCGCGTCGTAGACGGCGTTAATGGCCGACATCAGGTCTTCGGTTACGACGACCTCGCCCCGAATTGCTTGAAGAAGGGTCTTTGAACCGTGTTCCGGTCATGAAGAGGGAGGTTCGGCGGGGGGAAGTGGCGGGGGAGTAATGGAGACAGTGGGTGGGCTGAAGATGCGACAAACGGGGAACACTTTGCGATGATAGTAGCAAGATGGGCGAAGACTACGTCGATGACCCCTATGAGATCTTCGGCAACGATCCGACTTCCGCCGAGAACGGTGAACCGATACGCACATTATGTGATTATGTGCGAGCATATACGTAGGTAAAGATGTAGTCTTACGAATTTCCTTACTCGAACACGGTCGGTGGCGGTGTTTGGGGGTTGCCCTGAGATCTGCATCTTCAACTAAGCAACTCTACCATCGAGGTAAACAAGAACAACACTTGATGTGTGTGTGTTGCGTCGCGTAGCGCTGTTGAATCTATCACCGATGTACATGTGCCTCACCTTTAGCATACCTCCTACGTTGATGATGACAAGCTGGAGCCGTTGTACTTCCTGCGAACAGTGGATGGTAACGGTAGGTGGTAACAGCGGGTACCGGGGAGGCCCGCTAACGTGAGGCCCAACCCAAGCGAGAATTTGGTCTAATTGCAGAAATTTACACGATACATAGCGCTCCGCTTCTGAAATATTCCCATCGAACAATGAGTACATGCTCAACAATTGTTTCTCGTTCACGTTCCTCACATGGAAGGTCCCCAAAACATTTTACCTTCGGAGAAAATAGTATTTCGCATACATCAGGGACATGCCCATCACATCAACTGTACAAGTTGCACCTACCTCTAAAGATATTAACGTGTTGCGTGAAACAGCCTCCAACCGTTTTAGAACACACGTTGCACGAGGACACTAACCCCTTAGTATTTTCGGGCACGTCCACCCCCACTCTCAAGGGCCGGCGAAACTGAATGAGAGGCGATACATTTCAGTCTCCTCTGATGAAGGACCACCTTCCGCGTTTCAAAGGAAGACTTGCCTGCATGAGGAAGATGTTGAGCGGCACTCCCAGCCCACCCTGCGCCGCAATGCACTCTAAGTAGGAGGCCTCCGTGAATCCCTCTGGCACGGCCAGCAGCAGCTCCGTGCACTTTTCTAGCACCTGCGTACGAGTACAGGCGTTGCGGTTTCGGGATGGTGGCTTTAGCTAGATGTGATAAGATTCCGGCTATCAACACCAACGAAAAGAAAAATATGATGTACATGGTTTTAGAGTCACCAATCGGAAACAAGGACCACAGTTCGCGAACACATACTACTGCAAGGCGACTTCTATCAGGCTGTCGATAACACGAAGCTACACAGTATCACGCGTCTTGCGCTAGTACATCGAAAATCGTTTCCATTTGCTGAGCGGAGACCATTGCGTTAACTCGTGGATATCGCCACACCGGAGCTTCCATCTTGGTTTCGATTGCCCGTGTACTCGACGTGAGCAATTCTGACTCACCATATCCTCCCGCGAACGCCCAGTGCCCCCTGTCGCCTGTTTTGGCTGCGTCTCCATCAGAGTCGCCAGGAGCTGCTGCCCTTCCTTGTTTCGGAAGGTCAGGTCGGCGTTGGGGTGTAGGCCGAACACCTCCGGGCCATCGATCCCTGGGAAGGTCTGGATGAAAGCGATGTAGTCCTCCACCTGATGTGGAATAGGGGGTTGGGGAATGAGGTACTCATTATCGGCGATGAGAGATGCCTGATGGGGCAAGTGAGGATCGTGCACAGGCTCGTTGCCACGCATGACCATACATACTTCTGCTGACCCGCCACTCCTACGAAGCGAAGGTGGGGTGCGTCGGTTTGCCCCGTTTCTTGCACCGACGGCGATACGCTGGAAGGAGACTATAATAGCGAGTCGCATCAGGGGCGAGCTTCATCTCAAGGGAGGGGCACAACGGAACCCATTCACGCGGTAAGAGGAGATAAGAAGAACAAGATATACAACTACAGCGATGGACCGCACACGCCGCCAAATACCGACTGCATCGTAGCTTGCTCGAAACAACCAGGTGAGAGCTTTTCTCTTGCTACCTTCGCAGTGATTATTCACGGGCTAGGCTTTTGCATGCAACTAGCTCAAAATCGCTCAAAAATTGCGTTGCCCAATACCGGCGTTTAGGCTGCCAAAGATGGCGTACATGTCTGTATTGAGGGGACGATTTTCGAAATCAAGTGCCGGAAGCGGAACACTTCGTCGTCCCACAAAGCATCTCGTACACGCACCTCATACGAAGTCAAGTACTGCCGCCACTGCCACAAAAAAAAATACATATATATATATATGCCTCGGGGCGCGCTGGCTCTCACCTCTTGGCTATCCGGAATAACATACTTGAACTGCGGACCGCCCTGCATGGGAACCCCAGGGTTGAAGCAGAAGCTTGCCGAGAGTGCGGGGGGACCCATCCACGTCTCCGTGTAGGCTTTGAACAATCGCCGGTCGAGATCATCGGTGATCTTTCCACCGTACTGTACCTCTCCCACCTATATATATATATATTGTTTTCAAGAAACGATTCGGAGCAAGAGGGGCAGAGACAAGCACAACACATTTGAACCAGAGGAGCAACAGGTCGAAGCATACAGCATGCGTGACGAAGGGCGGGGATGGCGTTAGGGCATGACTCTCGAATGTTGTCATCTGTTGCAAATACTTCGAAGTATGGCATACGACATCACCCGAGATGAGGTGCTCTTTCAGTCGGCGCCCAAGGTGGGAGCTCCGCGAAAACGTCTTGCTTTTTGACCCCAACGCTACCGTAAGCAGCGAAGGTTACACTTTCGAACCCCGCCGTCGGTTCACCATGTATTGGACGGTTGGCCAAGAAACGGAGCCCGAGTAGAGGTGCTTCTCCAAGAAAGTGGCGCACGCGTTGAGGTCGCCGTCGTTGAACTCGTACGGTATGCACCACCCCAGGGACCCGAACTTTCGTCGCTCCTGAGAGAAAAAAAACATTTGAATCGGCGAGCGAGATATCGGCCGCGGCAGCGAAAGAGTACGTGCAAGAAAGAACCGAAGTGAGGGGGCATCGCGATGAAGAATACCGGACCTGTTTTCGTTGTCAACGGCCAGGGACAGCTGATACTGCTGTCCTCTCCCTACTTTTCTCGGCTTTTCGCTCACTGACCAGGAAAGCCTGGGTGACTAAACAAGACGTCGCGTCCTTCGACGTTCCGGTGGAAACGTGTATTAGTTGCTTGCTAAACCAAAACAACTGAACAGCGTGAGTGTGATATTTCCGTGAACTTTCAATGGCCGCACGGGTATACTAGCACTACCGAAGGTCACGTGCTTCAGGCTAGTTCCGCCTGGGTCATGGGTCGGTGTTGAGGTGGGCGTTTTGCATCGGGATTCGGGGGGAAGGACAAGGGTTCAGGTATCGAGTTCGTGTTTGCCGTCCATGACATGAATGTTTCTACCCACCTGCACGACCGAGTGCAAGAAGCAGAGGCTGTAGAGGAGGGCCCGCCACTGCGAAGAATCGACCCGTTCAAGCTTGTCCTGAAGTTCATCCAGTCACACGAACCACGCGAAATTGGCTCGGGAAGTCTCAAGTTCGGTCGGAATGCTAGGAATTCGCGACTGTAGCCGACAGGATAGGGTATCATACGATTTGCACAGGCCCCCTTTGGACTCGAATTATGTTCCGACTTGGTGTTGCTGTGCCTGAATCGCATTCTTCCTGTGGGCCCCGACACGAGTACTTTACGGCAGCGTTTTGACCGGGTCTTCAGGCAGAGACCGTGTGTCGATCCAACCACAAATAGAAACTTCCGCGAATCCACCGAGACAACAAGAAGATGCAGGTTTGAGGGGGAGGGGCGCGCGGGCCTAGCCTACTTCACAGCAGGAGGATGAACAACCGTTTCGGCAGCACTACTACAAACAAGTGATATGCACGAGCATATGCTATGTGTCGACGAGCCCAACCGTAACGTTCAGTCACCATTTAGTTACCGATTTAACGGCACAGGACGTTTTTGCTGCGCAACCTCTCCTTGTTGGCACCAAAACATTGAAAAAATATCTCCACCAAGCGCGAGATACGAACTATTGTACGTTTTGGTTGCCAACGAGTTCACAGCTCTCGAAAGAAAATCGGTATCCACCACTTCCTCGGCGTTTCTGGCGCGTGGGTAACTTTCTTGTCTTTGACAGCGTGTTGTTTCTTCGGAACATGATATAGATACGTCTGCGTGACTGCTGTTCGTACCACGACGGGCATGTGCCCACTAATACACGGAAGGGGAAATATATCCCTCTCATTTTTCTCGCCTGGTCGACAATCACTGTGAATGACCGCAGCAAGCCTGCTCGCAGTCCTTTGGGCGGCTCGTTAGTGACCTTGATGCTCATCTGAAGGAGGCCTATGGGGAACTTTGGGTGCGGCTCGCTCGTGATGAAAAGCCGGAAATCGGTGTGGCATGCTGGAAGCGTCTGGGAAACAAAATATTTGATGGGTTGGCAGAAGCGAACAACGACAAAGAAAGTAGTCGGAATTCCATGTGGAACGCGTAGATCATGATCACCAGGGAGGAAACAAAGCAATGCCCAATGATTTCGATCTAGCAAGCAGTAGGTCAGGCGAAGAAACAATAACGTGGTAAACCAGGGTTTGAAACAGCTTACGGGGTAAGAACGAGTCGATCTCGGCAACGCTCAAGCCTTGACCGTTCCACAGGGAGATAATATCCGCAACTGATCTTGTTTTCGCAGAGTAAACCGACTGCCGCCATCGTACCTGGAGATAATCTTCCATGGTCTCCATGTAGTCCAGGCCCAGGTGACAGTTCTGTAGGAGGACCCAGCTTCCGTTTACCGTGGCAGCTGCTATCGCCCGAGAGGCTACCACCGATTGACCCTTCATTGCACACGGTCACCGAAACCACGCAGAAACCAGCGCCCAATATATCGGAATAATCACAACTGAGACTTTGTTGATTTGCTCAAGGCTCGAGGGCGCATGTCCTCTACAGCGACCAAGCCATCACTTTAGATACGCTACGCCCTAGCCCGTCTTTGAACCGGACGAGTGCGGAACGTGGTCAAGTTCTTTCAAGTCAAGAAAGCACCACTTTTCGTCGGTCGGATTCTTCGTCAGTAAATGAAATCGGGTATGCGCAATTCTGCCATGACACCAATGCTTGAGCAAGTGCTGCTGGGCGTGATAGAACTCCCGATATTTTTTGTGTTTAGAAAAACATTCAAGTATTGCAGCAACAAGTACTTTCAGTTTGCGCGAACAACCCCTGAACTGTTTTATGGGCTTGTCGAGGTGTCATAGCCGTAGATGCCCCGCCCCCCCGTGCGTACCTCTCCCATGCTAACGCATGCGACGTCCGTCTTCTTCTTCCTCGCCAACCCCTCGATAGAGTCCGTTGGGTCGGCGCCGGCACTCAGAAGATAGATCACTGGGGTCGAGCAGTCCATCTCGTTGTACACAGACTCCACCTTTGATTCAGCGCAAAATAACAGAAAGAAGAATCGACGCCACGATGACACGAATCAGGAGAAAGCAAGTTCCACCCCATCGTTGTCTCAAATTCCGGCGCTCCAGTTCTTCAACCCCATCCGTCCAACCTCTAGGACCCGTGATCACTGTTCCTACGCCTATTTATATGTAAATGCTTATTTCGCGAGACACGAGTGCGAAGCTCTTGTTTCCATGATTAGGCCTCAAACGACAATACCTCATGAACTCATGACATGCATGTCCGTCGCGGCCCCTAGTTGGCTTTCTTACCGTATCAGTCAGGGGTTCCGCAAAGCGAGGTCCCATGGCAGGCAAACGAGACCCTGCGTGCTCGACGGTGTCGGTGAGCCTGATGAAGTTGTTGACGCACAACAACGTGCGGTCCTCTCGGAGGGATCTGCATTACGATCGATATGACATGGAGATCGGGGCACGTTAACAACGAGATCAAATAGATAATCGGCATGCTGTGATAGGTTGGGGTGTACCGTAGGACGGTGCGTTGCCATCATTAGTTGGTGCCGACAGGCAGATTGACGGCATGATAGACGCTACGCTTTTAGGGTGGACACCCGATGAACAAATTAGTTGCACCTCCAACAAACAAAACTTCTCCACATTTTGAGACTTACCACATAATCTCAAACTCTTCGTTAAGGTACCTGACGAGAAGAAGTCGGTAGAACGCGCCGACCGAGGGATCTGCAGCCAACCGGCCCTCGAAGTATGGGACCGGGATTTCCTCCGGCTCATTCTCGGCGTACCACAGCTTCCACGCGGCCTCATTCCGAATTATCTCGTCGGGGAGACTCTGTCAGGATTGTTGTCGTTGTTGGACACGCTTTTCGGTTTGAGTATTGTTGAACAGTCAAACGTCTCCTCCCACAAACACTGTTAAGAGAAGGGTCGAGCTGTGTGCAGCAGAGTGAGAGTCGCAACGTATTGTGTGGACAAGATGTCAGAAAGATAGAGTCGCGCGAGTTTTGAGCACATGTTGTCTCCGCTAAGGTGAACTACGTCCGGGAAGGGCTAGCTTGTGCCGGAACCCAAAAACAAAGTTGGCATCATGGTAAGAATGCCAGTGTAGATTGAGACTTGACCGCTTACAAGAGTCCTTCATCAGCCCAGAGTAGAGCTAGCAACTTCTACCCCCCGTGCAGTGTCTTGCCTTGAACATCACGTTGTCTCTGCTGAGCTGGATGGCGTTGAGCCACGCCGGGTCCGCCAGCCACAGGTACGGTTTCGGCTTGACGGCATTGAGGTCGAGGGCGGCGCCTCCCTTGATGAAAAGGGTCACGTCCGACTGATCCAGCCGGCGCGCCGTCAGCAGAATCTTAAGCGCCAAGATTAGCTTGAAGCTCAGCTTGTCCTGCTCGTACAGGCCTCTATTTTGTACGAATTCATATTTCGCGTGAGGTGGGTGCCGGAAGTGAACCAAGTTGTGAATGTTATGTAGCCATTCTCAGTATCTTTCTTGGAAGGTGATAACCATGAACGGATTGGCTAAGATGGTGCGCCGTCGGGTTGATCTCATGTCGGTACGTCCTGTCTGACCACGTTCTTACGACGTTGCATATCATGATTCTAGCGATGTTCGACACTAATTCGTGGGTAATCTGGGTGTATGATCATTGTTTCGTTTACTCTGATCGATTCGGAAGCAATTGAACACCCGTGCTCGAGGACGTTATCATACTTCCAAGCACAAGACACGACGCGTAGACTACAGGAATACCACGTTGTTCAATTCACCTGGAAATGTATCTGTAGACGTTGAACGTCATGGTCTCGATGATGTTCCACACCCTCTTGGACGCGAGGGATGCCTTGTCCGCCACATCCATGGCCCTGAATAGTTGGGTTTCCGGAACAAAATAAAAATAACAAGCGGATGAAAGTGGGTCGTGTGTTATTAATGCTTCTCGGACCCGAGGTGTAGCTGCGGGCGCGCCAGGAAGCTTACATCATGACACCTGGATCTTCAAGGATGATTGGGCATTGATAGTTCGGGTAGATTACGCCCGGAAAACCAACACGTTTTCGCTACAATCGGTTGCCTTCGCCGGTTCTGATGCCCCTGTGCTGGTGCAACGCTAGTGTCACGAACGACCACTCCGTTGAGAAGGAGAGAAGGAAAGCAACACCGGCAACTTTACACTTGTTCATTATCGCCAACCCGCCCCTCCAATCCCCGCCCCTCTATACCTGGCTACGAGTGCTAACCGAACTCCTTGGCAAACATCCAGCTTAATTTAGTGGCACCTGGTAAAGAGCGTCTGAAACTGGTCCAGGCTAGTCTGGTACATGACGTTTACGAGGCTGAGGTCCACGATGGTGAAGTACATGACCGCACCGCGGGTGGCGACCGGGCGGTACTGCTCTCGCTTCTCGTCGATGCCCTCGCGCATCTCTCCGGCTGCGACGAGCTTGTCTCGCACTTGGACGGCCTTCTTCTTCGTTTCCGCAAGAGCGCCTTCCATGTTTTGTTTCGAAGTAGGGCGTTTTCGAAAAGCAAGGGGACGTGGTCGGTCTAAACTGATTGGCCAGGCCGCCACATGGGACTGCAAGCGGAGGTTATCGCTTCGGTGTCGGCTGATCTACAGAAGCGGTTGTCGAACAGCACGAAAAGGAGCAGGAACTTGTCGCACCACCATCAGCAGAAATGGCACAAACCTCATCGATGAAATTGACAGTATGACGACGGAAATTACGACAAGTATTAGTAGGAGGCATGCGCTGCTGTTAGGCCTCGGTGTTGTCCACGACAGTTGCCGTACGGAGGGTGGAAGTAGGGTTGTGATATGGCATGGAAATGTGCAGCGAAATAATCAATTGTAGAACAGGTACTTGCTCGCGGTATACGTACGAACGTAAAGTTAAGACTGATGAATCAGCAAGGCCTTGACCGGCCAAGGATGACAAGTATGACATACAACGACGTTACAACAACAGCAACAGCTTCAACAAGGGACATATTCCCCAAGGTTGAACCCACCAATGAGTTCTTCGTCGTCAAGAAGGTTGCCAGTGTTGGCGCTGAGTCGCTCGAGCAGCAGCTGGTCCAGGGCCATCAGAGCCTTCGTGTTGTTCGTAACCTGTGGCAGAGTTCGATTTTTCACTCGTTTGAAGGCATTGTCTCGGAGTTGATGTCTGCCAAGAGCCAGAGCCACACATTTTTCATGCTGTGCTGTGACATACGTCTTTCATGCAGTGCCTTGAACCTTCTTCACACCCAGCAACGGATGGTCTCGAGATCCTGGTTTGGCGCCCCTGGTTGTTGGCTCTTATTGCATCGCTCTAGTGCAAGCTGTTCTCAAGCCATCGAAGCCTTCGTGTTGCTGATTGTGATAGTTGTAGCCGTCGGCACAAGTGTTTATAGAGAAACTCCCAGGATGCTCGCTGACTTTCTGCGAGCTGTCAGGTTTGTGTCGATCGGTGACTCCAGGTGAAGCGTGGGTTGAACCGCGGCCACGTGTTGATATGTCTTCTTCCTTGTGGGAACCGGTTTTGGATGCTTCTCGTACACTTTCAGGTGGCAAATATCTCGAAAAAAACTTTCTTGAGCCCATTGTTCCTGGAGGTTTTTCTTCGCCTTCGGGGCAGTTTTGTCTCGCAGACGGTGTTCTTGGAGACGACACAACAACGATACTACGTAGAGCGAAAAGTTCCGTTTTTCCAGCTGCTGATTCCAAAACTTTTATCGTTCTTCTTTAGCAGATTGATACTCACCTCTTCAAGAACGTTCTTAAGTTGTTCCTCAAGGCTCTTCTGTTCCTTTTGGATGACGCCTCCAAGGAGCTGTTCTTCGAGGCCCTTTTGCGTCACGGTGAAGTCCACCACAGTCGTCTGAACACCAGCGAGCAGCAGTGGTGGAAGCAAGTATGCTAGGGTCATTCTCTATCGGTTGCCGACTATCGATTGCTGATGGATCGCAAAAAAAGGTACCAGGTGTAGGGGTTGTGCATCCCGAGCCCCCCTTGCCAACCATGACAGAATTCGGTGGCAGCAGCGCCAATTCTACCACACCCACGAACTCAAGCCTCCCTGTTTTCCAACCTGGCCATAGAATCACGAAGACGACAAGCATACTTTACGTGATGTTCACCTTCGCTTGGTTCTCGGGGCTTAGATGCGGATTTGGTAGCCGGGTGGTCATGTAGAGCATGAAGGAATCACTAAACTCGCACATCTTGTCGGCCACGTTGATATACTTGCTCCGAGCCTTGACGACAATCTGGCGAGATAAGACAAAGGAGGGGCAGGCACAAGGAGAACGACACAGAAATTTACTCTTAGATGTACCGTACAATACGAAGACTCAGTGGGACTTCCTCAATATACCTGCAAAGGCGACACCTACGAGGCTGAGGTAATCAAAGAACTTCTCTGTCATATCTCCCACGGTAACCACATGCTTCATTCGAGCGCAACCATCTTGCAAGACTGCACCACCCGCATGTATAGTCTACTGCGGCACGGATGGGAAAAATATGTTGAACACAAACGGCAGTCTAGCACGGATCCATCTGTTTCTCGAGACTTGGCCATTGACGGTCCCACTAACGCCGAGTTGGCGGGCGCCGCTTGCTACTTCTACACTGTGCGTACATTCCGCCGGCTGTCGAGTACAAAGAGGACCAAAACCACATTCCAACTCCCGTCGACCGCAAAAAGCAGGCCATAATCCAAGTGTCGAGGGTCCGATAAAAAGTGTCGAATCAAGCAACACCCTTTAACTCCCGCAAACTGACAACTGCTTTCGTGCCATGCCAAACTCAAATCCATTACAATCTTTGTGCTTTTCCGTAGAACAACGGTGGCGTAGAAAGAAGAACCCGCGCACGCCCCTCAAATATACGGTACCTGTTTTTCAAGAACCGGTGTGAGCATTGGGTCAATGTCTTCCTCAACTCCTGCAATGATTAGCGCCTTGCCCTCCATCATGCAGTACTCGAGCGTGTCCCTGAGCTTGTCGCTGGAGAACGACGTCACCCCGGAGGCCGGCAACCTGTCCTTCTCGTGCCGGCGGATCCAGTTCAGTGCCTGCCCTTGTGGATCTATTAGCAGGGGATATCGCGAACTCCGAGTAACCTGCAAAAAGATAATATCCCGATGTCTCTGCAAGTCAGTACAATAGGCGTATGAAGAAATGGACGCCGGGAGAAACCGCCCCCTTTTTATCACAAACAACAAATGATGGGCTTGGGAAACACATAGTTCTTCGAGTGGGGGAAGATAGTCTTGTTGAAATCGGTACTACTCGCGACAATCACATTAAGCCCAAAGTTTGCCCCTGGGACAGCGACGCACAGAACCAATGCGTTATTCCCCATCTCAACTTTTTTCATACGACGCCATACATGTCCAGGTCTGCAATAATCAACACGGGAGGTTCTTTACAATACTCTACATGGTTCTGTGTATGTCGTGCGTGCTGTTCCCTTATTGGGAAGAAATTGTGAAGCCCGTGCCTTCATAACTGAACTTTGGGTACAGGCCTGGAGTGGCACACCCTACGGTCGCGTGAGTCATCACGCGTGGCTGCCCGATCGCTCGCTCGCTCTGTTCGCTTACCAATATTCCGTTTTGGATCGAAAGGGGGTCTGTGGGGAGTCCGTCTAGGTTCCAGTCTCCGATGGTGCCCATGTCCACCAAGAAAGATGTGAGGTCCAGCCCTTTCGTCAGCGGGATGCCCCTGGATACCAGATCGTCAGAAAATCTGCGACCAGAAGAATTTGGTTTAAGCAAGGCAGGAAGGGCGTCGATGCACAAGGTATAGGAGAGATCGGTTTGCGATATCATCGGAGAATATTCGTACTGTAACAGCACGGAAGTTGTTAGGGCGTTGTATAGGTATGCGAAGTCGAGGGAAAATCTACGCGCTTAACTATTATCGATATCTTGAACAACATGGTGTTGACGTGAAACGGGGAGGGTGCAGGTCAGGAAGACGGGTTTGCTCTGAACACCATGTAGTCGGAACACCTTCGAAGAGACGACTAAGGAGTTTCGCAACACCGGTGGACGTAAATGCCAACACACCAGAGTTCGTACATGGTCGTAAAGTAACCTCTGCATAAATCGGACAATCGGAGTGTTGAATACCGGTATGTACTTCAGGTGCCTTTGAACAACAGAGAGACCGCGCGAAACTCCCTCATACGGCGTTCAATGGGTTAAGACGTGGTAAGGGTGCCACCAACTAGATATTCCGTGTTTCGCTTTGTCTGGTACGGGCGTACCTTGTCTTGACCAAGTGGTCACGGAACTCTTGGTTGAAGGGACCGCAGTACCCCACAAACGCGCAGGAGAGGGCGACGTCGCCCACAAGCCTCCGCTTGGTGTCGGCGAACTTTCGGCTGTCTTCTGTCCAGCGGGTACGCTCCCCTCCGAGCCCAACTATCAGGGCGGTGGCCTTTACACGACAGAGCGAAGCAAATAAGAGTCGTCGAGGAGTAAGGTACGCGGCACAGGGGCGTGCTGTTGGTTTTGTGGGTTTTGAAATTCGGGGACGCAACAGAACAATGACACCAACCGTCAGGCCGACGATCAGAGCTTGCATCGCCCACAAACGAAAAACAACCCGCGAAACAGACAGCAACAACGCCAACAGGTGTCACACATTGAAGATGAGAGTTCCCCGTTAATCTTGACAAGCGATTCTGCACGATAGGGGTATTGTCCGCAGGCCAGCGGTCTTGATGGTCGACGATTCGAGCGGCTACTTCGAGTGAAGGAAAGAGACGAAAAGCTCTCCGCGACGCGATCTTCGACTGTGCTTGACGTTCGGTTTGGGTTCTCTTCCGTTGAAAGTTCGAGTGTTCAAGTGTTTCTCCGGGAAAAAAAAAAGGTTTGGCGACGACTCGTTGCCATGGTTTCGCCGTCACATACAATAGAGCCTTTGTGAGATGGTAGGATATCACTAGGCCAGTGAGACAGCACCATTCGTCGAATCTCATTTTTCTCTCGAGTGCATGACAGGCTCTATCTTTGAAGTCGTTTGTTTCTCGGGACCAACTCCCGATTCAGCACCTGTTCCATCCTACTCCTTGTACGAGCGGCGTTTTCCTCGATAGCTCTCTTTTTCGCCATCTGGGCTTCAAACTTGGTTTGGAGTTTGGTCAGCACGTCCTGACAGTTCTGCAGCTTAGATTCAGCCTCCTCCAGCTCCTTTTGCGCGTCCTGGAGCTTGACTTCTGCTATTCGAAGCGCTTCGAGCTTGGGCTTGACAACCTACCGATGAGCAATTTGCCGCGGGTGGAGTAGAAGCAAGTGTCATCTTGTCGTGACCCCCCGCTTTCATCGAAGACGGACGTTGTGGAAAACTGGATGGCTCAGGTTTCGAACAGCACAACTTTGCGAAACGAACGCAATGACAGGCACACCAAAGCTAGAGCGATCATTGCACCAATGCTCTGCTTCTAGTGATCAATAACTATGATGTCCCGGACTACAGCGCGCGAATTTGTCGCTGGAAAAAATAACTCCTTGCCTTAGAGGCTTCGTGGTAGTAGGTCATCGCCCTGCACCACGTGCACAATCCCTCCGCCGCTTTGGAGGCATTCCTAGCCACCGCCGGGTTGAAGCCCTCGAGCTCCAGGTAGGGGGCCATGAGCTCGACGGTTTCGTCATTGATGAAGTCCTTCTCGTTCTGGGAGAAGGCGAAGATGGACTGCAAGAAACGGGCGTCCGAGAGCATCCCCGCTTGCATGTACTTGAAGGAATCCTGTCAAAGGAGTGGAGCCAAAAGCAAGAATGCCAGCAGGAAAGTCTAGAGGAGGAGAGATGGTGCATGCACTTTTGCGCTGTAGAATGCTGCTGGGTAATGCGTTCGTAGAAAAGAGTCACCTGCTCGGATGAACAAATTTTAGGAAATCGAGTAACGAGTACTGTTAAATCACCTTGAGAAAGGGTAGCGTTTGCTTCTCCTTTCCGATCCCGATGGTGACCTCATCCACCTGTACCGGCTGAACCTTCTCCATCTTGAGCAGCCCAACGCAGTCGAAGATGAGCTTGATGATATCTGATGGCTTTTGAAGCTTCTTCAGCTCGTTCAGGTCGCCCGCCTAGGCGCATAGGAAAAGGTGCGAGCGTTAGTGAAGTAAACAGGCTTCGTGTATCGGTTGGTTAGTTGCCATGTGGGTAGCATGGGAAGGGAGGGTGAGTACGTGTGGTCCAACGCTTCTCCTTTCCGCCGCAGGCTTTCGGAGATAATTGATTGAGGCCTTGGATCAGCAGCTTGCAGCGGGGACAGTAGAGACTCGTCGGTGAATCTACATCGGGTGCAAGCGAGAAACCAACCTCATACGCTATCCTGCGTAACGTAACCGACGCATTCACGGACCCTAGAAAACTAGTCAAGATTCGGTACCTTGATAGATTCAACAGCGCGCTCGGCCTCCTCCAAGAACGGCTTGGCCTGGGCGAGGTCTTCCTCAGCGTCCTCTTTCTCGCCAGCGATGCGCCGAGCGTCGGCCATGCATGCTTCCTTGATGACAGCCACGGCATCGGCTTCTTTCTTCGCTGCCATCGAGCTCACCTGTATGTGTGACAACCCACAAACATAGGCGCGCATTACACTTTTTATGTTGGTAAAATGGTCCAAACGTGTTTGGAAGTTTTTGGCCGGCACGCGAGGAAAGATGTCAGGCTAGGTTGTCGCAGGGTGGGTCTGGTAAGAGGAGACATAAACAGAGAGACGAACGGCAAGGAAGCACGACTCAAGAATGGAGTTGTATGCCACCTCTCTCACTACTTGCCTCCCGCCGCTCAAGAGAAGCGGCTGTCGTTTCTGCCTGCCAGCAACCACCACCCGAATGAATGTATTCATCCACCTTAAGAGGCGATGGTGTACAACACATGCACATTTCAAACGCGTACCTCCAACTTGCTGAGCATCTTCGTGGTCGCGAGGTCGGCCTCCTTAAGCTTGACCTCTTCTTCCTTCAGCTGCACCTTCATGAGCTCCACGTCCGATGCGCCCTTCTTGAGCTTGTCGAGCCCGACGATCACCCGCTTGCTTTTCACGTCCACCTGCTCCTTCTTCGTGAGGTAGAGGTCCTTGTAAGACCCGAGGAAGGACAGGAAGGAGCGGGGCGTCTGGTAGACCCTCCGTCTCATCTGGACGAAGTAGTCGGCGCAGGACTCCACAACCATGCGGTGAACCATACCCATGTGTGTCACGAGCTCCTTGTGTACCTGCGCGGCGAGCGTGAGGAAAACGTTCGGAAACAAGGATTGGGGGGGAATTTGTATTGCAAATTCGCTGTCACCAAAACTTATTGGAAAGGGCGTTCACGCCAAAACTGGGCACTCTACGCAAGCCGGATTTACTGACCTCCGCAGAGCACTCGATGGGCGCGTTCCCGATGTAACCGTCAGAAACCGCTACGAGGGCCTCGGCGGGCCACGACAGGAACCAGTTGATGGTGCACCCGTTCACCAGTCCCGGGAACTTTCGGGCACGCTCGGGAAACCTGCCACACGTCATTCATGCACCAGGCAAGACAGGAATCGATGGACGAACGGGGGCGATCTTGCCATGAAGAAGTTTTTTTTCGTGAACTTGTTCTGTTGATGGTGCTGTTGTTGTGGCCGAAAAACTTCTCGCAGGCACAAGGTTCGATGCCTTCTTCAACCCAGAGCTACGAAAGTCAACGGATTACCAGCAGCAACGAAAAACAGATATATCGCGAAAGTAGAGGAATCAACTCACTTTACGCTGACCGGGGACATGCAAATGACGCAATGCAAGTTTGCGCGGACCCTGTCCACGAAACAACGCGCCAGATTCTCGGGGGTATCGACGAAGTCTGGTCTGGTGCTGATCGCGAAAGGTCGAATCTCGGCCGCCATCATGTGCAACTCATCCTGGAACGTGACACATGTTGGTTGTGCCGCGATTTTTAATGATGGCAATACAACCCGTGGGAGGGAGTGTGGAGGCCTCGTACGATACATTTCAGTTTAAAGCGGTACAATAGGACACCATTCGTCGTATTAGTGGAAGCGGAGGTAGACGGCCCAGGTGTATGGACAAGCGAGAGCAGCAGATATCATGAACACAATTTTATCGGCATCGTCATGATTTTGGCACAAATGTTTCGAATTTCACCCTATTGAATGAATTAATCAGCTTTGCTGGGTTTTCTATATTCCAAGTCAACGAACATGTTTCAATTGGAAGCAATAGCGTGCTTCAACACGGCACACCTTGGGGAATAGATTCGGCACTTCTCCCGTCATGAGGAAGCTGTTCATGATCTCCAGAAACGTTTCGTCCTTCATCTCCGCCTCGGTCAGAACGAATGTCGCGTTTTTCCCCTCCTGGCCGCACTTCTTGTACAAGCACCTCATGTCGTCCATGAAAGAGTTCAGGTTGTACGCCTTCGTGATGGTAATCTGGAAGGTGAAGTTCCCGGCGATGTAGCTGGCGAGGCGCGTCAGGCTTTGCTTCCCGGAGCCCCCTACACCGACGAACAGCATGTTGCCGCGAGGCATCCCCAGGATCCGCGAAACCGTGATGAGGTGCCTGAGTGCGTCGTCGAAAAGGACTAGGTCCATCCTGTTCGCGGGGAAGTCCAAGTTGTACTGTTCCGCGAAGCCCTGCACTATGGCTCTCAGGTTGACCAAGCTCGGGCCCTCTTCGTACACCTTGGGCGCTGCCTGGATGAGGACCTGGAAGGGCATCGCAAAACGGCGAAGTTGTTCCTCATCTGGAAGCCAACCAAACGCCCACCGTAATTGTGCGAGGGATCGCATCCCCTCAGACGGACCTTCGCTTCCTCCGTTACTTCGCAACCGAGAGGGCACCGCCGCCGAAAAGGTGGTACCGGAATGTCTCGTCTAGTGTTTTTTTAGACACAACGGTTGGCCTTCGCACCCTCTTGCTTGTGGAGCATTCGAGCTATGGACGTCTGTCAAGAGGGCCCGCGATCACTCGCACAGTTACGGTACGTACCTTCGAGTGTCTGCTAGAGGCACCGCCTCATGCACGCCATCCAACATTGTCCCCGAAACAACACAAAAGCAGGGGAGCCTTCCTTCGAACTGCACATCGCACCCCGTTTGGTGCAACGGTTTCATCATTTCCTTCTTTTTACATGTGTATTGTCGGCCATCGATCGCAGTTTATTACTACCCTACGGCCTTGCCTCTCTACCCAAAAGAGCTCCAAGATGCGGTCACAAAAACACTTCAGCAAAAACGCGTTCTGTCTTACCCCGTCCTCGTCGTATTCATCGGTCCTCAAGAAATCTACGAAGAATGCCTCCTGCGTGATCGCTTTCAGAAGGGAAATTTCGTCGGTGGGAGGAGACACCTCGTCTTCTCCAGGGCTCTCGCCGGTCACCATCTCGTACGTAAGCAGTCGTCCCTTCAAAACCGGCGAAGATCAGGGGGAAAACATTCAAGTGATATTGAAATATTTTACCGTTTTGTGAACATAAGTACTATATGCTGTAGTACGCATATATTATATTTCTTCTTGGGTTTTGAAAGATAAGTAGGAAATCAGCGAATGACAAAATTCATTAATTTTGTGTTGGGCTGGATCCATGCCTGCTAAAGCGCCGCACAGACGGGAACATGACGGTGGTTGAACCTTGTGAAAAATCACCAAGTACAAACACAACACCAACAACACGTGATCCCTTTTGATCGATCACACCGGCAGAGGAAAAACAGCAGCACTAGAGGCGAGCAACTTGTCACCTCCGGAGTTTCCAGCACTGCGCGCCCCAGCAGCGCCGTCTGGTGATCCAGCTCTTTCTGGAACGCCTCTTTGTCCTCGATGGTGGTTAGCTTATCCGCGAACACCCGACAGCACTCGTGCCTCCAAAGTTTCATCAGGCAAACCTCTGTCGGTATGCTGTCCTTAGGTGCGCGAAGCAGCCCCTGCGTGTATGTGAGTAAGGCAAGCATGCGATTATACCGTGGTTGACGAGAAAGATAGCAGCATCGTGGGCGTCGGAGTGGGGTACGCCCTGGGGAGGGTTTCGTCGTGGTCGTGATTTCAGACTTGAGGCAGATTGAGGGTCCGCCCGCAGAGAGAATGGGCAAGAATGAAGCACACTGGCGAACGACTCCCGTTGTGTGAACTGCCAGGCGACTCCCGTTGTCCGATGTTTACCAACTGGCGAACGAAAAAATCTATTCACTTTGATGTAAGACGGAGCCTGATCATTGAGAAGCTCTTTCTTTCCGACTGTGTCTCTACCATATACACAGAGTGATCGGCACAGAGGGTTAGCTACACCGTAGGATTGGGACGCTCCGTACACCCGGTAGATAAATCCAGGGCAGCGAGGGGAACCGAGCCATAGGTCAAACGACACACTCCGGACCACTCTTTTGCACGGTGTTCTTAGTGCGGCGTCACGACCTATTGGAGAAACCGAAGTGTCTACAGGGGGTAGAAACCCCATAATATACACGGACGGATAACACATGATTTCTCTCGCCTGGAACACCCTGGACAGCTCTCGCATGTTGAAGGTGTAGTGGAACTTGCTTGGAGAGGGAAGCATCTTTGCTCGCATCCACCGCCAGAGAGCAGTCGTCGCCGCGGGCAACCGCTCGCTGAAGAGGTGGAAAGTCGATCGCCGCTCTTGTGCCGGGAACCGCCCTTCAACCTGTGCTTCCCGTAGAACCAATGTAGCCGACGGCCAGCAAAAACAAGATAAATCGGCGGTGTTTGCCTCGCCTGTATCGCTGTGGTTAACTTTGTCGTCACGTCAAGCCCAACCCTCTTTGCAGGTAGGCCTGCGGGTGAGCATTTATCATCGTCTCGCTGCCACCACCTTTGCCATTGATATTACCGAGCACAGTTCTTACCGCCCGCATGGCATGGACGGTCGGGAAAATTTTTCCCAAGACTTCTGTGTCGTACTATCGGAGCGTTGCGAGTAAGGAGCAGAAGAGGACAAAATCACCCACCATCTGGCCGTAAATGGCGTTTATGCTCTCCTCGGGGGGCACGATCATGTTGAAGATGAAGAAGTGGCGCTTGAGGCGGTTTGGAATATCGTTCTTGCCGGCACCGGGGTGATTCATCGCGCCCACGTACTGCAGATCTTCGATGACCTGTGTCAGGTAGGTAGAGAAGCACGTCAGTTCAAAGCGACGCAGCTGGCAGATGCGTCATTGTCCGCTTGGGGCAAGAGGTGTTCTGGAGGAGAACGCAGCAGAGGGGTGGGCAGTGGGGCGAGACCCTGGCAACGTGATCGTTAGCTGTGCCGGACAAGAATTGCGCGACAAAAAGCCTCAGTTGCGTCGGACAAACGGGGTTTCGCGAACATAAAAGCCTTTTGGTCGAGGGCTAAACCACCACTGCAGGGTCTGCATTGAAACTACCTGTGAAGCTTCCTTGCGAATCAATAAGGGTGCTAAACAACCAACCGCGTAGATGGCGTTCCTATGTCTAACTCATATTTGACAGGTAAGCATCGCAATAGGGATCGCGACAATGGGGCGGGGTCAGTCTTAAACGTTGAGGTCGCCGATCCAACCGTCGTTTGATACGTGTGAGGATGCCACATGAGAGCGGCACGATACCTTGAGGTCACCGCGCTTGTCTTTGTCGAGGAAGCAGAAACCGCCCGTTTCCACCAGCTGACGAACAACTTCAAGTGTCGGCTGGTCGTCCCACTCGTTCACCTGAACCAAGAAAATGAAGTTGTATTGAGATGAAAAGGTGAGCTTTCACTTGGTCATGGGAGCAATCGGAAGCAGAGAGGTCGGACATTCTGCAGCTGAAGAGTATCCCATCGGCTGGGTATGGGCTGGTCAGAAATTCTGGACAACTGAAGCGCTCAATGTTGCTTCATCGCGCGCAAAAATAAATGGCGTGCTCCATATTGTGCCGCGTACGGCACACGCCCAACTCTTTCTCGCGCACCTCCGGCATGCTGACATCGTCCAGGAACACCGTCATCCCGCACCCAGAGGGAGGGCCGAAGTTCTTGCCCCCCCTCTTGTCGAGCTCCCCCTCGATGGTAGACTGGAACATTCCCGCCGTGGTGGCCGAGGAGAAGTTGATCCGCTTCACCATCATGGAGTCGTTCGTGAGCGAGTCGAAGTACATCAGCGCCGTCGTCGTCTTCGCTGTGCCGCTCCCTCCCACCATGAGGACCGGGTGGCGTTGTTTCTGGAGACAGGTTTACGAGAGACGGTGGTGTCGAAACAACGCGTTTGCTAAACGCGTGTGAAAAGAGCAGACCAAACGGTTGTTTTGGGTCTGTTGCATTCGGCCAACACACTACAGATACCGGTCATGTGTCTGTCCGTTCCTAATGCCGTGAGACGTTTCCACAGCTCATGAACGAAATTGAGAACGGGTAACGGGCAGTCAAGAACCAACAATCTTGTTCCCATCCACCGAAAACGAAAAGAAGGGAGCGGTGCACACACAGACACCGGCGGCGTATGGGGCATTTTTCACCCAATCGGCACTCCTGGACGCTGACACAAAATGTGATTGCTTCTCTGTTTCGCTCTTGTGTACCTGGAGGTGATTGATGATAGCCAGAGCGCGCGTTGAGTCGACGGTGGGCACAAGCAGCCTCTGAAAGTCAACCTCGGCGGGGACCTTGGGGTACTCCCAAGCGGGGACCACCCACGGCTCCCACGCCATGGTGTCCAGGTTGACCGAGTAGTCGAAGACGGTCAATCCTGAAGAGGCGGAGATAGTCGAGTTGCCTGCTGGGGCCACCGGCAAGAATAATGCGAAACGACGTCATGCTCACCAAGTGTTAATAGGGAGTGTGTGTGAGCGAGGTTTTGGCTTGCTGCTGTAGAAATGACAATCGGTCGAGGGTATGGCCGACAGAGGTACGGATAAGGTAAAAAAAGGCGAACGGATGAACGAGACTCCAAGGTAGATATCGAAATCGGTTGATCCTACGGTTGTGCAAAGAAGGCTTTTCGAGTTGTCTGTGTACAACAACAGCAACCACAACAGGAACGGCCATCTGAACGGACTGACACATTGCGAAACAAGACGTATCGTAGCGTGGTCTAGTTGTGAAAGGATCATCACCGTGCCGGCGAGCAACGCTTCCCGCACAAGTGAGGGCAAGGCTTCTACGAGGAAGACATGCGAGTAGGCGGGCATGGATTCTGGCAGAAAACAGATAATCCTTCTACAAGAACACCTACGCAAGGTGTGGAATGGATGGTTGCTTGTCATTCTGATCCCCAGGCCAACAGAGTTGAGATACTGCCAATCTCGTAGTATCACGCAATGACAGCGTCTCTTGGGGCCCATAGCAACATCTCTCGGCATGCTTTTCGGGATCCATCAGTGTAGCGTTTGGCCCCCCAAGACTCCATTTTGACACCCCGGAAGAGAGAGAACGAGAGAGAGAGAGAGAGAGAGAGAGATCGGGGGAGACAAAAAGGGAGAGAGAGAAAAGAGAGAGAGAGAGAAAGAGGAAGAGAAAGTTGATTCTAACAGGACAAACACCCACCGGAAACACTGTCGCCATCGTTCGCAGCGGCCGCGGCGGCCGCCGCAGCCCCCCCAGAGGAGGGCATGTTCTCAGGGCACAACTGCTGAAGGTACTGGTCGAATTTGACTCGCTCGTCGGGCTCCAGCAAGCCCCCCAGCGCCCACGACACGCTGAAGAGAAACAGCCGCTCTAGCTCACCCTGGGCGTCCTCGGGGCTTTGGCTCATGTCCGACGACTCGAGCATCTCCGAAAGAAGACGAATGGTGGCCTTCCCAGACAGTCGAAGACAGACAAACCGAATCGGGGAGGGAGTTCGTTGTCCAAGGGGGGACACCTATACGCGGGGTCACGTTAGGAAACTTTTGACAGATTGATGTCGAATCGCGACCCTACCTTTCAAGATCTGTGGACTGAAACGTGTCTAAAAGTACGTCAATACACCCCATCCTACGTTTGCTTTCACCTGCATATTAAATGAGACTAGCTGCTACAAAATTGCCAGCAACAACCATCAAAGGAAGTTGACCTTTGTACCAATTGAGGTTGTTGCAGTCTTGGCTTTCCTCACCTCGATCTGACCCACGCGGGTGCAGTTCATCACCGGGCGGCATGTTCTCGTGATGAAGTCGAACAGGTGTCCAGGCTCTTTCGGGCCCAGGCACTCCCCCACGTACTTCCTGAGAGACAGCCGAAAAATCAAGTGAGATTTGATGGGGTGAAGAATACACGTACTGGCCAAGGCGAGTATGGAAGCATGCGTTCTGGGGGAAGCCGTCAGGACGAAAATGAATAACATGATGCGTATTGTAGCTCGCAATCGGAGCAACCACCGCGACTTATACCACCAACGACGACGACAACCTGAGGAAAAATTCTCTTATAGAACTACCGTAGGCGACACAAGAGATTTCCGCTAACATATCGCTTGACTTTTTCATCCTCTTCGTCATGGAGAAACTGACCTTTGAAAATCGGTCCAGGGGCTGTGTTATCTTGTGTCACCTACGGTACCTTCGCTTCCTCATCTCGGAAGAAAATCCTGTTCTCGGAATTAAAGACTTGTCAAACTTTGACTCGACAACATCTAGAGACTTCAAACCTGAAAAACTCTCGCAGGATGTCCCCCCTCCCCGGCGGGAGCTTCTTGAGGCGACTCTCCATCACTGGCTGCCAGTCGAGATCGCTGTCCGAGACGTAGATTATGCCGGCGCGCGAAACCGTCGCCGGAGACGCGTTTCGGAGATCTTCCACCTCGAAGATGAGCTTGACGTTGTCGGTCATTGGAATCCTGTCGCCGTTGGCCAGAGTGAGGATCTTGTTGTCGTCGAGGACGGTGTTGAGGTTTTCGATCCAGATGGCGTCCACCGGCCCGTCGCAGATGATCCACTGTTGTTTATCGTTGTCGTATAGTTGTGGGACGATGGTGAAAGGTGTGCACGCGTCGAATAGCGTGGATCGAAAAGGGTGGGTGTGGCTTTAGCTAGAAATGTGGGTCACGTGGTCGAGATCGCTACGATTGGGCAGGAAGTAGGTTAGTTAAGATCGCGAGTTGAGCAGGCCTTTGGTTTCAGTTGTGGTGGAGGACTGTGTGTGGTGCTTCGGCTAGCGATTCGTTCCGATGTTCAGACGTGGAAGCCGTTCCGCAAGTTGGTAAGCTCAAAAGTAAATACACGCGTCCCGCCGCTTGTGTATGTGAATACCTCTCACCTGCATGTCTTTCCTATTGCGATCGTTGAACTTGCTCCACATCGCGGCGAAGACGCCGTCCACCCACTCCCCGGAGGCCTTGTTGGTCTCCCCGAACATCTCTTCGGCGCGGATTGCCTTGGGGTTCATGCGGATGGGCTTGTGTTGCACCCCCGTCGTCTTCGTCAGAGCACTCTGCGGACAATATTCAGAAAGCATGCACCGGACCAGCGGGGGAATGAGAGAACCAATAGATACTTTCGTGAAGGGCGGGCTGGGATTGGATTGAAAAGCCAAACGCTTTGACCCCAATGCGCCTACGCGGGAACTCTTTCGGGTTGTTCCGGCGATAGGATGATGAGCAAGGCTCAAGGTGAACCGCCATCGTCGCGTGGCCCGCTCGCCGAAATGATTTTTATTGTTTTCAACCGGTGCGCCTTTCGGGGTGTAGTGTAAATAGTTAAGCGTTTGGCCAGAGGTAGGCTGCACGCCAGCCCACGCGGGCAGCTTGCTGCCGAAACATCACCTGCAGCGTGCTGATCGTGCTGCTCTTTCCGGATCCCGGTGGTCCAACCATCATAACTCCGTGTCGAACGAGCGTGGTCTCGTAGAGCTGTATGACTTTAAGACACCAAGACGGGTGGGCAATAAGGCCCTCCTTGTCGATGAACGATTTTGCGGCCGACTCCACCTTTCGATGAGGGCAAGGGTTGGGCGTAGGACGTGGGGGTCAAGGGACAAGGGCCCACAGCGGGAAAAAATACCGGCTGCACAGCAGCAGTGGAGCTGCAGAGAGGAAAACAGGAAAGCGCCACATCTATCATCAAACAAAAACAATGACAACAAAGACCGCCAAAACTTCAGAAATGGCGCAGAACACCAAACCTCCCCTCGCTGAGCGTTCATACCTCTGCGTGAGCGTCCCCCGAAGCCCCGGCGACAACGGCCGGGAACAAGTCTCCGAGCAGACTGAGGAAGAGGGGCACGTCCTGAGCGATAAGCTTGGAGAGGTTCATGTCCCTCAGCGTCTTCATGAGCAAGAGATCTTCGTTCTCGTCGAGGTTGTCCCGCTTCGTCTTCCCGGCCGTCCTGCGAATTTTCATGCATAGATGGAGTGTAAGGAATGGCGTAGCTTGTGTCCTTTCTAGAAAATCACCTGACGACGCTGGTGAGATGATGTGCCACGGTATCAAGCCTTTTTCATGGCGGTTCAACCACTTCAATCGCTGATCAACCACATCCAAACAAGGTTGACATCAACTTAAACGTCGGCTGAGAGAGGGATCTGGCGCGGGAAAACTGACGTCATCCATCTACCTTGCCCATTTTGTTTTTGAATGGTATCTGTTTTATCTCACAAGACTGTCTCACCTGAGAACGCTGAGAATGTTCCTCAGGCCAAAGTCGTAGTGCTTCTGCTTGGACAACTGCTGCTCGCACAGGGCGTACAGCACGTTGAACTTGCGGGCAAGGTCGGAGAAGCCCTGGTACCCCACCGAGCAAAGCTTGACCTTCATGATGATCTCTCGGTCGGGTACCATCATCGCCACCGACCGGAATAGGACCTTGGAGGCGGGTGTGCCAGGGTGCGAGATATTTTGCAGGAGATCGAACAAGGCAAACCAACACGCGGTAGGTAAATATAGTCGACAGAACCACAGAAAAAAAGGTCTCGCAAAGAAGAATCACCACGGAAAAAAAAATCAAGAGAGTACCAAGTAACTGCGCTATTGCAGTCGAAGCAAGAGGTCACTTATTTTCCAGTAGCCCCCCCCCCATGCGTACGGAGCGTTCTCCGGTTCCTGTGTGCACCTTCAGGTTTTCGGGGAGCTCCTGCCGGCCCTGGTAGCCCGGGTTCATGGTGATGAAGTAGGCCACGTCCCTCTTGAGTCCGATGACCTGGCTGTCGCCCGGAAAGACGAATTCTTTCGCTCCTACACGCTTCGCGTTCGTGATGGCCAGCACCTACAATGCAAAGGAATAGGGCATTGCTAGTGTTTAGGGACAGGTTGATAATGTGGACGGGGGATGTGTAAACTTGTCCTTGAAAGTTGTACAAGAACGACGAAGAAAAACGGGCGGGGATCATCTATATACGATAGTCAGACCCGTGATCCTAAGCGCCTTGCTTTCGAGATGGCCAGCGCACGTTTCAATACAGAGATAAATTGCGGAGGTGTCCAACGGCAGCATACACCTGCGTGCAAGGCTAACCATAACCCCCCCTAGCTTGTTGATAGTTGTCCCCGTGGGCACTGTTTCGCATCAAGTCGACCAGCAAAAGGATGGGGGTGTGTTGATTAATCCAGAAAGTGACTGAAACCAGGTGAATGGTTGAAGCGGATCGGGGAGAGCAGACCCGCTGTGTGATCATGCGCCAGAGGTTTGTCCGACGAGAAAAGCCGAAACGGAAAGACAACGCTGCACGTGACCCGTCATGTACGGCACATACCTGCTGTGCGACTACAGATAGCACAGGCAGCTCGATCCGGTTAAACTCGTCGAAGCAGCCCCACAGTCCGGCCTGGCACAGTCCTTTGAATATCTTGGCCATGTCGGTGTATCTCTGCTGGTCTGTACAGTTGGTTACGACCTGCGCGTATGTGCGGGGACAGCATGAACAAGGGATAGCAGAATTTTAGAATTGAAAAGTTTCCTGTTTCAGTTGTCGGTTCAAAATTTCGCAGCCTTCACATACAGAACACATTTATTGTCATATATTTTTGTAGTGCGATTTCGTCGATAGCTCCAATACACTCCTCACAACGAGCACCAAATAATCCATTCAGGAAAACTCACCACGAAGTTTCCCAGCGACCTTCCCAAATCTTTGACGGTTTCAGTTTTCCCCGTTCCGGCAGGGCCCGCGGGTGCACCCCCCAGAAACATTCCCAGCGCTTGGGAAAGCGTGATGTAGCACCGGTCCGTGAGAGGAGTGATCACCAGTCGTTCCTGAGGTTGGCCAATGTCAGTCGACAAGTCAGTTTGATGGTTGTGTTGGTGTGTGTTACTTGCCACGAAGACCACATTCGACTACGCTTGGAGTGCAGCATTAGGGAAGAAAATATCGGTAGACCAGAGAAACGAACTCGATGCCATAAAAAGGAGTTGTTTTCTCGATTCGTTTCCATTGTCATAATCAGAACCATCGTCTGCAGCAGCACTAGATGTGCAATTCTTAGTCGCTTTTCAGCGAAACTATCCGAAGACCCATCCCAGCGATGGACTCACCTTGCACCCCAGGTACTCAAACCGGTACTTAAAGTCGACGTCGCAGATGGAGATGGCACAGCTGCCTGCGCCGTGGGCGTCGTCCTCGCCCGGCCTCCAGTAAAAACGAGCCTGTTTGAGCCACTCGAAATCCATAGAGTTGTGTATCTTGCGCTCCTTGTAGAGCCGGGTCAAGTCCATGAAAACGTCGCGCTGGTGCACCTGTTGTTACCCAAAGAAGTTGCAAGTATCTCGAAGATATTGATGTACTGTTAGTCCAGAGGGCTCGGAGTGCGCAGTGTGTTGGGCAGGAAACAGACATAGGCCGCCCTTCAGAGCCTCCATACCCATGCTGAGAGGGTAGCATTTGTTGGACGAGCTATCACATCCGAAACGACAATGGTGTGGTGTCGCCAACACCAAAGCCAACAACAACACCCACACCAACCCCGCCCTCACTCTGACCGCAATCGTTACCACGACCAGGACCACGAACGGCGAGTACCACGGCAACCACGACAGAAAATGCAACAGCAAGAACACGGACAACCTGAATTGTGACAAGAGTCTCGATCTTGGTTCGGTTCATCTTGGTGCCGAGGTCCTGCAGGCACCAGGAGCTCATCTCTTGTAGCACCCCCAGCTGGCCGCGGTTGGTTTCGCTCATGATGCTTTTGTTGGTGCGGCACTTGTCCAGGGCCTCTTGACACTGGATTTTACACCGACATGAATTTTTGTTTTTAGTCGCATGCGCGTTTTGGTAGCAAACCGGTCGCAAAGATGAGCGACATGATCGCGACAACAATGTATAACACGCGGAAAAACATTTGCAGACGGCCTTGCTTTTGACCCTCACGTCTAAACGGACAATATTCATCCCCCCCCCCCAAGTCTTTGAGGCAGTGGCTTCCGCCACGGAGGTGAAGAGAAGGCGAGTCCCACAACGCATAGAGGGCGACTAGTCTCGTTCGTGACGCTTTTGATCGAGAGATACGTCTGCACGGCTTGCTGACACCCCGATGTGTCGTTGCGGGTCCAAGCACCGTTGGCCGAGCTCACTTGTTGCGGTGAATACGGCCAGATATCTCAACGAACGGTGGTGAAAGATGCTATGTGGCAGAAGCCAAACCGGAGTAGCGACTCGAACGTTGAGGGCACCTGGTTGCAGGAAGTTCGGATGCACCTGCATACATGCTGTCAATCATGTACGTATCGAACAACAGGAATTGTCTCTTCCTCAACACAGGGCAATAAACTAACATCGGAAAGTCATGGTGGTTTATTTCTAACGATATACTGCCAGCATGAACTACCGCGATGTGCGTTTTTTCAACCTGGCGAACACTCCCTCTTCGTCGAGAATTCAGGCACGTCAAAAACGCTTAGGACATAGGACGTATCCGCCTGCACAGGGTGCGATGACCTCCATTTCCACGGCACAAAAAGTTCCCTTCCCGAAAACAAAGGGCTCCGAAGACGTCGTGACGACCTTCCTCAAATGTTTATATTACGCGTTTTTGTACCATTATCGTCGAGTAATAATCGATCTTAGAAAGTCGGCTACAGCATGGGTCGTGTGCAGTGCCACGTGGAATCTGCAAGACAGTACTTGCCTGTGCGGTCCATGAGAACTGAAGACCCAGAAGGGCGAACTGCCCACAGCTGCAGTCGACGAATTGCCGGAGCGGCATGAGGGTGCATTGTACGGCCGCGAGTTCCGCTAGGCTTTTCAGCGACACCTGACAAAACAAACACGTGGCTTTAGCACGGCACAATGATCAACGCGAAATGGGCTATGGGCAATTGTGTGTAGGTCAGGTCCATGTCTCAGCAGTCAACTGCGGTTTCCAACAGAGCGCGTAAAGCACCATGCCGGTATGTAGCCGGCTCTTTATGGCCGTACTACCGCGACCGGGCCGTACTTTTGGTACTTCTGTTTCGATTTCAGGGACAGTTCTCACCTGCATCCCCTTCTCGAGCGCTCCCAACCAGTCCTCGATGTTGCCCGTGGCCTTGACGGGTTTGGAAAACGATATAGTCTCCTCATCTGACCCGGCAATATTGACCATGCTGATGATGGACGATTTCTCTCTGAGGTGTATGCGCGGTAAAGGGCAAGATCAGTCCCACCAAAGCGAAACTACATGAAATCAAGGGCGAAACATAACCATGCTGGGTCAGGCGGTGTACGACGAGTTGCCTTGGGTCGGCAGCAGGAGAGAGACGTACGTTATTTTTTGTCTTAAGAGCATGCAATCACAGAGGTTGTCGCCACAACACAACGCCATGGTACAGTCTTCTGCTTGAGTTGACACTCACTTCTTGTCGTGCACGACCTGGCTGATGCTATCGAACACCTTCTCGTAGTACGGTTGCATCTGCACCGGGTCTGACCCCTGGCTGAGCACCAGCAGCAGCACAGGGTTCGACACGAAGTAGAAGCGGGGGAACCTCGACCTCTTCTGCTCCAGGTACCCCTCCAGACTCTTCTGGCACTTTTCAAGCTCGACAAACAGCACCGGAAGCGTCGTACACAGGGTCTCGCTGGCGCAGCACATGATCACCTTCTCCGTTTCTTCCGCTGTGTATATTGCGCCAAAGCAATGGGCCAAGGTGACGATAGAGGTTGAAGACCGGCGGTAAGCATGGCATGTTTCCGTAATAATATTAGGCACGTTTCTACAGCCCGACCGAGAGCCCCCGGGAGCGTCGTGAACAAGTCTCGCTAGGGCAGTACAAGATGATCGGTTGAATATTTCTGCCGTCAGCAGGAGCTTGGATGTGCCCGGCGAAGCGGGCAAAAAATAAAATGGCACAGTGCACTGCAAAAGGACTTTTCCGTTGCCGGAGTTATGGGAGATGCGATTTTACCATGTGATCATGAGGTGTGTGGTACTTCGAGACGAGCTTGTGGACAACAAGGCGGGAAGGTGTAACGTGTATCATTTCGTTTCGAAGTGGACCATAGACGTTTCACATTGTCAGGTGACGATGCCTGAATCCGAAGCGGTCTTGGCGTTGGGGATTTTCAACCGACGGCAACAAGCACTTGCAGATACCGACTTCAACCCATGTTTTCTGACGGCGTTTGCCTCGTCTCAAAACACTATGCTGTGAGGGCGGCGCTCTACAACGCGCATGCTTTACGGTGCGGCGCTCAACCCCAGTCGCACCTTTTATCATGGTCTTGGCCCAATCCTTGTCGATCTTCACGAACTTCTTGGCCTCGATCGGCATCTGCTTGGCGATATCCCCACCCATGAACACGGACTCTAGGCTTGTCCACAGCAGCTGCACCTTGACCCAAAGCTCCAGGCTGTCCGTTGCGTTGCTCAGATCGTTCAACTTATTCTGCGGGGGTAACGAAGCATAAAAAATAGAAAGGAAGAACGAAGATATACGATTGGTTTATCGTGTGTCGTCACCGATTGAGCAACTCGGGCACAGCTAGAAACAGCTTGTTCCGCTGCGAAAGGAGGAGGGGAAGAGTCGGGCGTCAATCCGGTGGCAATTTACGTTCTACCGCTTGGCAACATTCCTTGCCATTTTACCCTCTCGTCTTACGTGTCAACGGGTTGGAGCGACGGCATCAGCGAAGGCCTTCACGGCAAGGCGCGTTTGTAGCGACAGCATTCACGGATTAGGGGAACAGATTGACGGAACCCGCGAAACGGGAGCCCTTCGTGCTTCACGGTTTGCTTTTCTCCTTTTCTCACCAGTCCCCAGGAAACGAACGGTACCTATTTGCTCAACCCACCACAAGTTTCTTCCCTTCCAATCCTCTTGCAACGTGCCTCGCGGCCGTTGCTGTACCGTCCGTTACCAGGAATGCCTTGTCGGGGTGTCTGGATAATATCCCATGACGCACTCAGCCGAGACTGTTGGACTGTAACGAATGTTGTTCATCCTCGGCTAACACTACTGACAACACCAAAATTCAACAAAACCCACCTGGACAATCTCTCTGAAAGGTGTCACGTGTCGCATGGATAGCAAAGTCTGCAGCTGCAGCTGGGCGTCTTCCAGCTCCTCGATGATGACTCCATATGCCTGACCCACCCCACAGGATTGCAGCAGGTGATGCATTACGTGGTTGGCTTTAGTTTTACTCCTGAAGCCAGTCATCGTAACGCTCTCTCCAGTGTCCCTTTTTCGTCTACACATATAGTACCTATTTCACGCATGGAGTATGTAGTAAGGGTTTTTGTGGCCGCACGATCCTAGGAATTCTGGATACTGGGAGAGATTCGACTGGCTTTGCTCTGAACCATACACAGCTGCACTTCTTCCACCTACTTGTTCATCTGTACCTTTAAGACGGGCACTCCTCTGCTCTTCCACGGGGTGAACTCGAAGGCAGCATGATCCCACTGGTCCGTGATATCATCGAGCTTTTCAGCGATCGAGAGCTGCTTGTCGGCGCCTTCACAGATCTGATTCGCAATTCCGCGAGCCAAGGACCGTTGCATGATCCAGCACCAGAAATTCCGCGATGATCGGCCAATCGGAGTGGAGGCGAGAGGACGGAGTACGCGCTGATCGACTCCAACAGCAACGGTTCTTCGTTACGTGCAAGATGGTGGAAATTTCCGCTGCCCCTTTCTCACGGGAAAATATGCGCTACAGTATATTGAGAAGGTAGACACCCCCCCCCCTTGCCTCCTCCCCTTCTTCAGCACCCCCACATTGCAACCAAACAGCCGGTGCGTTGCGCTCGCACCTCCTCGATATCGTCCTTGAACTGGAGGATGGGGCTGTCCATGATGTTCGAAAGGCTGAAGTTCTCGCTTTCGTAGGGGAAGTTGGTCTTGGTGATGTCCATCACCTCTTGCCAATGCCGCGGCTTGATACTCGGCTTCCGCAGGTTCTCGATTATTGGAAGGACCTCCTGAAAGTCGGTTATCTTGCGTAACAACACCTGAAAAAAAGACGAACGGTGGCGGGGGGGGGGCGGGGGGCGGGGGGCGTACTCTTATGTTTTGCGTGCCTTAGTTAGACCATTGACCACGAATGGTGGCGGGCGGGGATTCATTGATGCGAGGCAAAATAACTGAAAATAATCACATGAGTTTGTTCGAGAAGCGGCGCAAAGAGGAAGGAGAAGAGGCTCAGCCGTGTTTAACACGAATCTGCCAACGGAACTTTCTACGGCTGACTGTCGGTTGTACTTCTTAGTTTGGAAACGTCATGTTCGTTCTGGACTCCTACCCGTACAGCTACCTTCAAGCATATGTTGATCGTAACCCAATCTTAACCTTGAAACAATAAACACAACGTGGAAATCTCCGTCCATGTTGATGGTATCGAAGGAAGCCTCTCGACGTGAAATTTGGCACAAGGCTCTATATTCTATAGGAGATTTTAAGCACGAGAGGAAACAAACCTGAAATGCTTCCCATTCCCGAAGCTTCTTGGGCATCTTCCTGCAGCGCGAGTCGAAGGATGCCACCATTTCTGACATGGCCACCAGCTCATCTCCCGCTGAAGTCCACAACACCTCTCGGTATCTGGATATTATTGGTGTTGGTTGTGGTGTTGTTGTGATATCTGTTCGTGGCTGTCTCTCCGTTTAGCTACATAAAAGCATTTTCCGAATAAACCCATAAGCTCGCCTTCGGCAGACGTCCTTAGAACCTGTCGTTGCTTGTTGGTAGACTATCTTTGACTACAGAAATAGAAATGAAAGGAGAGTATGTCGATAAAGTATTCCTTTCACAGATAGAAATATCCAGTCTTATCACCGTGAGCTGGGAAGTTAGGCACGGGTGGCTCTAATCCGGAGAGGGTCCGCAAGGGTTACACTGAAAGCGCTAGGTTGGTCTTGACCCACGTTGTTAGCGACTATCTTCGCAGGAGCTAGCCATGCTGGTGATACAAGAAACACAAAGCGAGAGTGATCTGCTGCTCAGCTTGTGCGGGTTCTGATATAAGACGCTTGCGCTTGCGCTTTCAACTGTTGTCACGGCCGATTGCAATTATTTCAAAGTTTTTGCTGTTTTCTTACGTGGTATTGCCATGCTGGGTATTCCCTACTATCGAAGTTGGTTTCCCAAATAGGCATGTGCATGATTCTCTTTGAACTTCAAGACTTGCGGGAACTTTTAGTCTTGTGCCTGTCACGGTATACGGCAGACACAAGCATCACGCCCACGCGTAGAATGCTGTACCAATGTCACGAGGAACCACGTAGGAATAGTCTTGTCGCATAGCTCTCGAGCGCTTGCAAGACGGCGATAGAGCAGAGTCATGTAGCTGCCCTGAGACACACCATGGCCAAGTTGCACAAAGACCGTAGATGCGTTTATGTTGCGTCGTCGAACGACAAGCACACCCTATATGCTAGGCATAGCACAAAATAGTCTTAACGCGTCACCGACCTTTCTAGCGTTTGGAGAACGTCCATGTAAAGACCGTACAGCTGGTCCAACAGGGACGACTCCTTCTTTATCTTGATGAGGTCTGGGTGTGCTGTGATCTTGAGGGCAAACAGCTCCTCCCCGGCGGTGTACATCTCGGCCTTCCAAGTGTTGTAGCACACGCATGTTCGAGCGAAGGACGACAAGAGATCGTTAGTACGCTCGTGTGACACGAGTAACCCAACAAATCGAAGCACAACTCGCCACGTAGTCCACCCCTATGACACACCTGGTTTGCCTTCGTGAATGTTTTTGATACATTCATCTCGTTTCTGGCTAATCTCTGGTTGGCTTGCTCATTGCCAGGTGGACGCGTCTTGTCAAGTCGTCGATTTCTGTTGCACCTACGTCTCCGTGATATCCATTTCGAGAAATATCGTGTAAGTTTACGCCTCAACTGCGTCGAGTTGAGGTCAACGGAGATCGTTTTCAGTGGCAGCCGCTTACCGTCCGCTCTCGAAGCTGCATCTCCTCCTTGAACCTTCTCAACCTCTCCACCGCCTCCAGAGGCGAAATTCCTTGTACCATCGGCCCTGACGTCTCCCATTCTCTACGGAACTTGCGCACGTCCTCCTTCAACTCCTGGAAACGAAGACATCAATAGTGTAGTTAGCCCTTCGAGGGTTTACGTCATGTGCCATCCTTGGACGTTCATCGTGCCAAGCCATCGGACGAAAGGCGGCAAGGTACGACACTGGCTACAAAAGTCCCGGGTTGTTGTTAACAAGTGCCTAACGAAACAAACAACAACTTTTCCAACCATCCACCTCACCAACTGTTTCAAACACCCACCACAAGCTCACAGCAGAGTAGTATCGTCCATTCCCGAGATTAGAACACATGCGAGCGATACTCTAGGCGTCTGGGAGCTCTAACACAGCTCAGCCATTCTATATCCGGACGTTGATGTTACAGCCGGGAACAAGCTTTCTCTTGTAAAGTCGTACCCCGGGCCCAAAAATCGGTCTCACAGCTAGCGCCCACCTTGACGTTTTTGACGAGCTGCTTCTTGTACTTGCCCTGGACACTGTGCAACATGTCCGTCACCCTCTCGCACAACTCAAGCAGTTTTCTCCAGGTGAGCCTAATAACGCTTTTCTGATCAATCTCCTCCTGCAAGAACGTCGGTCCGGCGTGTTGCGTGCCCGTGCCCGTTTGTGAGCTCATTTTAGGCAGCGGATGCGCACAAGTGCAACGTATTTCAAGGTCGCAATCACAATCTTGGTTGATGCAGTCCCACACCTTGCCTATGGAAAGGGATTTTCTCTTGCAGGTCTCGCTGTCCTGAAGTCTGAATTGTTCCACATTCCAAATGGGAGT